CCCATTGGTAGCAGATGGATGTAAGTCAGAAGAAGGTACTTGCATGGTTGTCGCCAGACCGCTGCCAGCATCATTACTGCATTCGGGTACTGTGGCGGTGACCGAAATTTGGGAATTTGTTGCTTGCTGGCAGTCGTTAGCGCAGCCGTGGCCATCGTCCAGCCGTTGTCATTGTCACCGTTCAACGTAGGTTGTGTCTAACAGTCTAGTGCTCTGTGGGTCAATCCATTGCTAGCCTGTATCAGTTAGTCGCATCGCGATACATTTCTTATTCTCACTCTCTTGTCTTAATCTCGAGCGTGTGCTTTGTTCAAGCTCGAGTTAGATTCCAAGAGGTTATTCAAGCCACCTCTTACGGTGGATTATTTGACGAATCGAGCTGGTTTCGTATCGTCAAACATGTCAGTTCCCTCTTACCAACTCAATACGCCTCGTCAGCGTCCTCCTCCACCTCCTCTGCGCCTTCAGAAATCTCAAAATTCTTCATTGACGAATACGCACTCAAACTCGCAAACACTCCTTTATGATCTTCCTCATTCAAATTCTGCTATTTCTCCTCCTGGTAGTCCAGCCGCGAAACCTGGTGTGATAACGCCATCCTCTCCTTCATTTGGTGGCAGACCCAGAGGGCGCAGAAATGGTCACCCTGGACCAACGCCGCCCCCTACTTCCCGAAATCGATCGATCACTCCTCTTGGAGTCTCTCGCAGCGAACTTGAGAAATTTGCTGAACTTTGTCGTGCATGGTATGCCTTTGTTCTCAAGCGATTGTCCTTGTTAATCATAATTCAATGTTACTAGGTACTTCAACCAAGATGAAGCGTCAGGGCGACTAGTTACACAGACACTAGCAAATTTGCCTCCTGCTCAACGAGCACCATTTTCGCGCCTTCAGGCATCCATTCGCTCTGCTTACCATGCGAGCGTCAATGCCCGTCGACACGCGGAATTTCAGGCACATATCAACGCAACTCAGCCTGGTGGTTCATTAATGCCACATTCTAGGGCAAATCCAGGAGGTCCGGTAGCCGCGAAAGAGCGCTTTGACCGATTAGATAAATTTGTCAAGACCTGGTGCACTATGGGCATGCCTGGAACCAAACCGTTCTTTCAGGCTTTGTGGGCAATTCTACGGCTTCAAGTTATCCCAGAGCCCCTTGGCGGTGCGGGGGCGAACCGAATACGCTGGGAATTCGATGATGCTGTTTTCAAAGAGTCTGCGTAAGCATTCCAAGCTTTCATTGGCATCTATATCTATCATTCTTACCCTTCTCACACGGCATAGTGGGAAAGACTTCATGCTTGATGCTATCGATGTCCTCAAAGGAGTATGTTGTTGTCATTCATTGGTTGTCATGTACTCAACCAGCCCTTCAGGTGTTGGCCTTTGAAGAAGTTTCGTCATCGAAGCATGACAGCAATTGTGTGTCTCACCAACCACAGCCTGCGCACTTGCGCTCCCGTTCACAACCTTTGTCTGCTCAACGCGAGACGATTGGTTCGTATGCTTCGCCAATCGCCATGACTACCCAGGTAAAGCGCGCGAGAGCTACAAGCGACCCATTTTTAGATATGCCCGCCCTCTCACACTCCGTCCCATCTGCTTCTTCTCAATCCTCCGGAGCTACTCTCCCTTCCTCTGAGACTCCAGAAGATTGCCCCAGTTCTCTTACCCCACATGATCAACTTGAGGAAGACGAATTGTTACCCCCGCTTCGATCAGAATTTGTCGCAGAAGATCCAGAGGATTACTTGCGCATTTGGACGTCTCCAGACCTTTCAAATCCTGAATTGTTATCACTACTAACTGTATTTCCTTCCTTCATCACCCGCTGCGCTCTGCCGCGTTTCACAGTACCTTTGAATACTCGTCCCGCCGACATCGAGGAGGGCGATGATGAAAGAGGAGAAGGCAAAGAAATTCACTTCGGCACTGGGTCGATGTGGATTAGTTCCAAGCCACGCGGCGATGGGTGGTGTGGGGGCTGGTGGACAAGATTCGTCCTTTGGTGGCGAAGATTGTTCTGCTAAATATTGTGCTCTATACCATGACACATTGGACATATGTAACACTCCTTGTTTATCATTTTGCATATACCAGCGTACACTTACCATTCACAGAACACTATATGGAATGGACGCGGACTGTCAGAAAGTATATCATTATCCAATGAATTGCTGTGGATACGTTTCGAATATACAATCATAGCATCTTGGACCTTCCACTGACGTACTACGTAGTTCAACTTGATACCAATTACATGAAGTCTCCCGGGACCGTCGATTCATTAATTTCGGGGTGATGGGATCATGTCTGCACGTAAACGCCGAGCATCCTGCACCATCTCGTCAACATGCTCATTGAGCGCTGTTTTCGAGTAATGGCCCCACAGGAACAATGCCGTTTCTAGTGACAGTTGAGTCTTCGAGTACTCGTTTAGGTGCTATGGAAATCCTCACGCGTGAACGTAAAGACAGGGAATTTTTGTGTACACCGAAGTTGCGTCACCATAGGTCACTTCTTGCAAATTTCTCTGACATAAGTATTAATTACTCGGTCGCTGATTTGCGCGCCCCTCGGGCCAGACTTGCAGCCTTTCCAACCTGTCAAACCATGGGAGACTATCGACACTCAGTGTTCGATGTCCAAGATAGCGTACCTGTGACAATTGCCAAGCGCTCTCCATCTTAGATTCCTACAGACTTCGCTTGTGGATTTGAAGGACAGCAGAGGACAGGCTGTCACTCGGCGAGTTGATACATCATGCGGTTTACGCTGGTCCAAGAATTTGATATCAGACAATAGGACCGGAAGGAAATACAGTCACGGTCGCATCCTCACAAACACACCCTTGTCACTGGGCCGAATATCAAACATATCTCTTATCAAAGCACCACAACCCCACAAGGTTCTTGCACCCTGACGTGACCTTCTAGGACACTTGTCAATATTCCGTTATGTTCGAGGCCTTCGCATCTCTGATCACATGGAAGAAACTTTTAAATAATACTCCGACCTCGATACTATTCGTCTTAGTGGCAGATCTGATAGTTATCTTTGCATTTAAAGGTGAGTAATAGAGTTCTGGTTCAGCGGCAATAGTTAAGGGTCTAGCACGTGAACTCCTTCTGGAGGTTACTGGACCCACAATGTTTCCCATGTCCCTCAGGCGCGTTTGGAGACCTGTCACTTGCACAAAGATAGACAAATTTCCCTGTGCTCGGCATGTCTCGGTGGCTTTCGGTAAACCTGCAAGGATTGTGTCGGTGCAGAATTCCCCGAGTGGGCGAGCCCTTTTTGCCGGAACTCCTTCTGTTCCTTTCGTCGGAGCTGCACCATCCTGCACGGCACTTGTATAAGCCCTTTTCTTTGATGGGTTCTCTAAGATGGGTCCAGAATGCTGCGATCAGCTCAGCTATCCTGTAGCACGACCGGCTCAGCAGCAACTGGACACTTATTTTATTTCGGAACACTAATGCCTGGAAAGATCCTCAAGGACTTTGACAACAGCTGCGGATTGATCTCGTACGTTACTGGTTCTCGTTTACTGTTTTTGCTTTCGATTAAAAACATGGACCTCGAACGCACTGACTCTACCCGCAGCCTGCCTAGCTGCGGCACACGTACGCGATGGCAACGGATTTCGCACTAAAGCAGACCATCCTGCGTAGCCATAGTCGTTACATGCAGACAACTTATCTTATTTCTGTCCATACCGATGGAATCGCTGGTCGGATAATTTCTTTTGCCTTCTTTGCGGCTCCTGATAAAAATTCGGTCGCCAGTTTGAACTGGTGAGCCCGGCGTCGTACATGCCAGTGGAGCGTGTTCATACGGCGGCCTTGCTTTTATTCTCAGAAAACTCAATCAACTCCCTTTGTGCATCCTTCATAATCGGGTACCTCCATTTCTCGAAATACATGTCAAGAACTATTTACTCATTTCGTCGTCCTGTGCCCTCGCATGTTTTTTCTCGTGTCTTCGGGTGATATTTCTCTCCATGCGTCCCAGGAGTAGGTTTGTACTCCATCGCGTGCTACGATAATGAAAGGCACAAAGTTTATGGTTTATTGTGGTTATGATAGCGGTAACGAAAATCCTCCACATCGCGCGTGAAGAAAGAAGACTGCGCTAAAAGGCTACTATTTCTTGCTTCTAGAAGAGACAGTGGGGAAGAACAATTTGGCGCCAGGTTCTAGCTTCTGAGACAGCGTCTATCTAGTCGACCTCCAAAGGATTTACGGCAAGCAATTTTGTGCTCTGGCCAGACTGCCCTGCAGAAGCCTCAAATGAATGACTACAACTGCTCCCAATAAATTGATCTGCTTGCACATGGCACCGATATTAAAGCCTCCATAGATTCCCTCCGTGAGATTGAGATTTGGAGCAACCGATAGTGAATTGGTGAGAACAGGGATGTGCCTAGATAAAAATATGGAAGAATAACTCTGGAGCTGGTTGTTTGGGTCCGGTACACATTGTACATAGATTATGTGAAATCACCCTTGAACATAACTTCGACTAGATGTAAAGATGTTGAGAACATAGCCCAGCAGTAGGGACGCCTTACCTCCACGCCGCCGATCAGAATAACCAAGAAGCGAGACGTTCCAATGAAATCAAATCAGATATTCGGAGGACGACGGGACTTGATAGCCGCGATTTCGATATCTTTGGCACGGCTGCTTTGTTCAGACCTGGAAAGTCATTGAACATGACAGGAAATGGACAGTCATGGGTAGAATTCTTACTGTTGCAACCTTTCCTGCAGACGCACATTCGCTTGCGCCAACTGCGCATTCTCTGCTATCAAACGCGCAATTTCACTCTCAGCTTCCGCCTTCTCAGTCTTTAGGTCCTCGAGGTACTTCGCCTTGAATTTATTGCTTTGATCTAGTGCACTAAGCTTCTTCTCCATTCTGCGAATGTAGGAGGGCGACTTTAAGACGTCCAGCGCCTCTAGGCACGAAGCAATGCTTTCGCCAGTAGTTTGATTAACAATAAAAGGGTTGGAAGAGGTGCGTTCGAGGGGTTTAGATGTATGTGCGGGGACGTCACGTTGGAGGGTGCTGCTTCCGTTCTCAAAAGGACCAGGGATGCGAGCATTCGGACTTGAAGTCTAGGAAGATTCCAATCAATATCTCTGCAACAGCCGAATACAGACCAACCGTTTGCTCCCCGCCACTATTTTCCCGCTCCTTGCCTTTGTTCCTGGTCGGAGTTTGTGGGAAATCTGTTTGGGGTATGCCCTGGTCAGAATTATCGAAGCGGCGGCGTATGGTCTGAGGTGGAGTTAGTGGGAAAGGAATTTGGACACCCGATCGCTGCTCAGCGGATGTAATTCTGGGTTTCTTTGGTGTCCTATGGTCTATATTTCCAAGACTCTGGTCCACACCCCTAATTGGACTACTTTGTTCTGGTTCATCTTCTAGCGATGTCTCTTCCCAATCCCCGACCGTCGAGGCCTGAGAGGATTGGGAGCCAAAAAGAAATGAGCGCATTCGGTCATTCATAGCAGTTGTATTTTGCTGGGGGCTACCATGTTGTGTTGAAGTGTCCTGGGGCTCTGATTCATTTAAGGCGGCTGCTATGTCTGCTATCCTCTTCCTGGGACTTTTATGAGGTGTGCTCGATGTTTGAGCTGATTCTGCTCTTGTCTTTGGAGAGGAAGGGGGCCTTGATGAAGCAGGCGCAATTGCAGTTGCAGGTACAAAGTGAGATACAGGTTGTCGGGAAAAGATAGGGTCGTCTACCCAATCTGAGGAATTTCGCTTCAGCTATTTCTGCATACAATAGGAACGATACTCACAAAAGAATTTACACCTTTCACTCTGGATTGACCTCGAGCAAGTGTAGAACTCACTGGGCGGCTAGTGTCAAGCACCGAAACTTAAAAACCGTGTTAAAGTTTGAACATACCGATTGGGATTTGAAGATGTTTGACTAGTCCTTATTATTGCAGCTTCACCATGTGAACAACGCACTACACCATTTGTGTCCATAGGACTGGTCGACTGTATATGCGGTTGACTGAAGGACATGATGATAGTTTTCGAATGGTTTCGGTTGAATTCGAACACCCCCTAGTAGCTGTGCGTTACTATTAATAATACATATCAGGTGACTCATTTGGATTTTGACAAGGAAGCCTTGGCTGCAACCTCCTCAACTCGTGCTTGTCGCGTTGGCTTGTTCGGATAACGTTCACGATGGCGGCCGCACCTCAAGGAAATTCTTCCTCGATATCTGTCACCTCGAAATATGTCGCGCCGTCTCACCCATCCTTGCCTGCCCTTGCCTTGCAAATCACTAGCCTTGTGGGCTCTTACATGATTTGGGTTGGTGCTACGAATCAACCACCAGAGTCTGTGCAAAATGCAACCCGCTCTGGTGTACTTTGCAGAGATTGGTCATGTGCTATGCCCGGACCACCCGGTCATGCAGTAAGTAAACGATGTTAATACCCAATTATACACCAACAATAGCCTGAGCGCGTTCTGGAAGGGCTTTGGACCTGCCACGACCTTGTTCCGATCATCAGGTTCTGATGATATATCTTTCTCGATGGCGCAACGTCTTGGTAAGTTGAACCCATTTTTTGTTCCGTTCGGATTGCCGGGCCTGTTGCTGATTTTATTCCACTGAATCCAGCACAGAGGTTCCATCGACAGATATTCTTATCAGTTGATATTCCTGCTACCATGTTATCAACATCACGGGGATATCATCTGTTGTTTGATGCAGAGAGAGGCATAATTGCAGCGCTCAGCAGTCTTGGAGATGAGCAGGTATCCTAAGTTTTCACTTCTGCCGTATTACTGTTTCCATCTCTGCAGCCCCAATCAGTTTGCTGTGTATGAGGGGGCACGTCATAATGCAGGTGGTGGATTTTATCCGGATTCCATACAATACAAATCGTCGTTGTAAAATGTCGTCGGTGAGTCCTGATCTTGCCACGAAAGTAACCCCTGGCCACGTGTTGTACAAGCTGGGTCTAGAGAGTGGATCGATGAAACTTGGATGAAACTCGTGTTGGCACTGTAGTAGTTTTTATAAATGAAAAGTCAAATTGATTGGGGATCCGTTGTTGAGGCCTAAGATCGATTAGCCGACCCTTAACCCCTCACATAGTAGTGGAACCGTGTGGCTCTTGGCGCTATTCGACTCATTTGTGGCCTGGGACTATTGAACTGGTTCCATTTATTTCTTGTCCTTGCCGTTGACGACAACGACGACGACCAAACAACTAAACGGCCTACTATTATTTTCTGACTTGCGAGGAGAGTAGTGGTACTAACTGTTTTCTCATAGACAGAGCATGTCGGAACCCGAACTTGCCTACATGACCAACACCAACGAAGACTTTGATCTCCCTCGCTGGCAAACTCACGCTCATCTGGAACCGTTGTCTTCATCTGCCCAGGCTGCACAGTCTGCCGCTAGAGCATCCTATCTTTATCCTAGTGCACCGCCTCCACCACCACCACAGTCTCTCACAACTGTCGGTCAGAGATTGCCGCCCCTGCATCAATCTCCTGGCACATCTACTAGGCAGCCTCGTCTGGCTCATATCCTTGACCACGATCAACCAACGGGCATCACATCCTCATCTTTCCTTTCTACAAGTTTGAACCAGCTTTCGAGGAGTGCGTCATTGGGTGGTGGTAGTGGAGCTGGTAACGGATCTTCCAGGGCTCGTCGTCATCATCAACCAGAAGATCTTGAGGGCGCTTTCAACCTTGACGCCCAAACCGTTCCTAGTTCGAGACACATGGCTACAACACCAAACTCCCTCTACCCATCTGGCGTTGCCTTCCACCCATCTCAACCAGGTCCCCCTCCCCCCAACAACAGTGCTTCTCCTACAGCTGTATCCAGCGAACCGTATTCAGAAATGTATTACAATGGTTCCAGTGGGAACATGCCAAAGCGAGCTCTTACACAGCATGATCCTACCACCCGCTCTGCGCGTTCACCAATGCGTACGGGTAACTCACTCCTGGATCCATACTCTCAACAATCCCAGTACTCACCATCTACTACCCCTTACCTCTACGCCTCATCATCTGATGTTCAGAGGCCCAACACCTCATCTGCCTATAATTCCCATGCCCGCAGTACCTCTCAAACCAAGGTTGAAGCTTCGACGCCACCAATATCATCCCCATACACTCCGCAGAGTGCTGCGCAGGCCGCTTATGCTGCGTACGCGATGGACTCATCAAGTCCCGCACCACACCAAAATCAGAGTCATCTATCCAGCCAAGCAGCTATCAAAAGTTCCATCTCTACCCCAAATACTCCTCTGTCATTTGCTCATCCACAGAGTCCCGCCAATCAATACTACCAAGACCAGCCCATGGTAGTTGATCAGCCGCAGCATCGACGCCGAGCTTCTGGTTTCAGAAGAGTCCGTGATACGCGAGATCTTAGACCTTACGTAAATCCCCAGCCTTCAGGCAGGCGAATGGATGCCAACGGGGTATTTTTATCGGTGCGTGTGGTTTTCATTTGATCGCGGTCAAGTTCTGACATCCGGCGACATAGCCATTGAGACAATTGACTACCAACATCCTAGAGACGTATCATATCTGCAACCCGCAGTTCAGATACGAATCTGCGCACAATCCGCGGAGGGTGCTCACCAAGCCGAGTAAGCCGGCCCACAACGAAGGTTACGACAACGAGGATTATGATTATATTCTCTACGTCAATGATTGGCTGGGAAACGAGGACGGTCACAAGTGCGTCGATGCTACATACTCTCAGCGGTATACTGAACTGTTTACAGTCGATATCTCATTCTGGATATTCTCGGTCAAGGAACCTTTGGTCAGGTGGTGAAATGTCAGAACATGAAGACTCACGAGATCGTGGCAGTGAAAGTGGTGAAAAATAAACCTGCGTATTTCAACCAGAGTATGATGGAGGTCACGATACTGGAGCTGGTACGTTTCTCTACGAATAATGACGACATGATGTTCACATTGATCCCCGTAGCTCAACAATTCATGCGATCCACATGATGAGCATCATATATTGCGACTTCGTGACTCGTTCATTCATCGAAATCATCTATGCCTTGTATTTGAGCTCCTCTCATCTAACCTCTATGAGTTGATCAAGCAAAACCAATTCCAAGGACTGAGCACGCAACTCGTGAAAGTGTTTACTGCTCAGCTGTTAGATGCTTTGACTGTGCTCAAGGATGCACGCTTGATCCACTGCGATCTAAAACCAGAAAACATCCTACTCAAATCGTATTTACTCATTTCCTTTCCCTACATTTCTCGTACTCAATCACTTCATCAGGCTCCAATCGCCCCAAATCAAGGTTATTGATTTTGGATCAGCGTGTCATGAACGACAGACGGTGTACACGTATATCCAGTCGCGATTTTATCGGTCGCCCGAAGTCATCCTTGGAATTCCTTACACATCTTCGATTGATATGTGGTCGTTGGGTTGCATTGCTGTGGAGCTCTTCTTGGGGCTACCGCTTTTCCCCGGGACGAGTGAGTATAATCAAATTACCCGGATCGTCGAAATGGTTGGGTGCGTATTTCGTCTCACTGGCTGGGTCATTAACATTCATTGATACGGTGTTCTGTGATCGCAGGATGCCTCCAACATACATGCTGGACATAGGAAAACAGACGAAGCAGTTTTTCGACTCCTACGTAGATGTGTATGGCCAGAAGAAGTATCGCCTCAAAACCTTGGAGCAGTACTCCCGTGAGCACAACACCAAGGAACAGCCAGGGAAGCATTACTTCAAGGCGAATACGCTTCCGGAAATTGTCAACACCGCGCCGATGCCGACGTTCAAGTCATCGTCTAGGCAGGGGCACGAAGTGGAAAAAGGTAAGATTAATTGTTCTCGGCATTTGCCTGACTTGTTCTTACGTGGCTTTGCAGAATTAAACAATCGAGCGTCGTTCATCGACTTCTGCCAGGGTTTACTCAATCTCAACCCTATAGAACGATGGTCACCCCAGCAGGCTAGGATGCACCCTTTTATCACCGGTGAAAAGTTTACCAAGCCTTTCCAAGTTCGTCATCTTGTCTGTCGATCTTCTTGAAATTTTTACTGACAGATCATTACAGCCCAATGGACACACCGCTGCTCAGATTACACAGTTGCCGTCTGCGTCAGGCAATGCAGACCCAAAGCGGCCATACGGTGGTCTTGTTCCCCAGCAGCCGAAAGGCACCAGAGCATTCCAGGACGCAGCGTCATACAATCAGCAGCTCGCTCAACATCAAGCTTACACTGCACAAGCGCAAGCCGCATCTCAGGCGGCCAACAATGTATTCCGTAACCCGTACATCACCCAGACGCAGCAGCAGCAACAGCCTGCTTCTCAGACTCAGCAGCCTCAGCAGCAGCCACCTCCTCCGCCATTGTCCTACCAGCCACCACAAGATGCATCTGCGCCAGCGTCATTCCCGACTCAACAGTCGCAGCAGCACACCTTCTCATCATCGCAGCCTGGCCAGCTTAGTGGACTCAACCCTCCTGGCGCTGGTTACTCGCAGGGGACAGGAATCAGCGTAGCTGGAATGCTCAACCCTAACCCACCCGCTGCCTCGCACTACCCCCCACCCCATGCGCGCGCACGTGCCAATACTATCAACCATAGTGACATGATTCCTCCTGCGCTGGCACGGCTGCAGCATATGAACCAAGATGCGATAGCTGGAAGAAACGCACTGACACCTGTGCTCAACCGGGATGACGCCATGCGCGAATGGGAAAGGCGGCAGGCGGGCAAGCCGAGCGCAGCGCAGCCGTACCCCCAGCTCGAATATCTGCAGCAACAGGCTGAGCTTGCTGCTGCAAACGGCATGTCTGGGTGGGGTGCATCCACCCGTTATCCGCCGCCGCCTTCCAAGCTATCGCACTCCTACCAGCCCACCATTATAGTGGACGATGATCGAAGGGAGGCTGTCATGTCGAATGTTCGCACTGCTGCACGAAGCGAAGCGGGTGCGAGTGGATTTAATCCCAACGCTATGGTGACTAGTCCGACGCAGGCATATGCAGGGAACCCGGCTGGTACCGGTGCGCGGTACCCCGCAGCATTCCCTTCGCAACAGCAGGCCCAAAATCCACCTTTCGACCCGCTGACCCAGCGGACAGATATCGGCGCGCTTTATGTTCCGATGCAGCCTGAGCAATATCAGTCATATGGTGGAGGTAGTGCGGCTCAGGGACCCGGTATGTCATCTTCAAGGCAAGCTACTCAAACTTCACAACCGGGTCCACAATCCTTCTATGGGCCAAGTGTGGCTTCGGCCGTACAAGCTCCGCCGCAGGCAGCTCAACGGAACCCGTTTAATGCGAGTGACGCATCGCAACAGCCAAAGGAGGCGAGAAGACTAAGCGGGATGGATATTTGGTCGCGATAAATGCTGGTTAATATTGTGATCCCCCTCTTCCTTCTATGCGATGGCTTCCACTCAATTTTGACCGGTGCTAGTACGATGTGCTTCCAACCAATTTTTGTCTTTTTTTCTCAGGCATTCTTGCAACTCTGCCCCATTTACCAAGACATCTTCTATGTGTTTTCTGTCTCGCATCATCCAATATTCAGGGCATTTATCATTTTTTGGTCACTGGTTTGGCAACGCTACACAAAACCTGCGATGGATGTGACATACTATGCTCCAGTACAACACATACAGTTCATCATATCCATCAAGGAACTCAAAATATGAAGCTTCGGTCACTCAATGGTGTCCGCTGATAACAAATTGAGTTCGCCACAAAAGGCAGCAGAAAAATGGGTATTGGATCATGGACTATGCCGTTGGGTTGCTGGTTCCTAGATGATGTCCTTCACTACGCTATCGCTAACAATATTAAGGCTCCTTTGAATTAGTTTGAACCCTACACTATTAGTGTCACCTACCGCTTTGGCAGCCGGATAAGTAAGTCCACGAAGTCCTCGGTGTTATACGCGCTTACGATGAAATTGTTTCTCCCGGAGGATGCAGGTAATCTATCTTCGCGAGCGAAAGTGATCCCTCATCATGTCCACTGTACGGGTGCCAAGATGTAAATTTTAAGTGTATTCTGCACCTCGTCTGGCTATCTTCTCAAGTCGAGATAATTTTGTCAAAGCCTTACTAAAGGCTAGCCGTGACGTCAAGAATGCTACTTGAAACGGTGAAGATTTGCAGCTCACTGGTACCATGACTTAGCGAACTGACAGGGAAGCGAAGCCCGTGTCAGAAGCGTCCAGCAGAGTCTAAGGGTCTTGTTAGCTGGGTCAGAGGGAGGCTAGTAGAGCGGAGGACTAAGCCATTTCGAGCCTGCGAAAGCTCTCGTCAGTCTCTCGTCAAGGGACTGCCGCCAGTACGCTCGATCGTACTCTCATTGCGTTTAGGATTGGTGGGGGGTACTAGTACAGGTCCTGACTACAACCGCGGAATGATCCGGCCAGCTGCATTCAGTGGCCAGGTAGTTTACGGTTGGGAATAGGCCTAATGAGACCGGTTCGGTAATACCGAGATATCCGTGCGAGTAGACGACGCTGGACGAGCCTCATCGTCGTTCTAGACTGATGCTATTTCTTCCTTCTAGTAGCTTGCGCCACTCAGGGCCGACTGGAACTCGTGCGCTTGTGAATGGGGACTGTCTGATCTTTGTAGGGTTTTTCCTCCAAATGACCCCTTATTTGTACTAGTACTACAACTGTCTTCAATGACTCAGAACTGCACACCAAGATTGTCGTCCAGATGCCAAGGACAACAACTTGAAGGTGGACTTTCTATTGTGCAATCTATGCCCCACGCTCATTTGTCTTCCAGTTCTTCCAGCGCATCCACGAGGAGCGCGATACGCGGCCATGTCTAGATATACGCAAAAATATTGCGCTCAGGCTCGCCGCGTGCTTAACACGATGATGCTGCGTCCCCCTTCTTCAATATCGTAATTTACTTCTTGATGGATTCTGACCCTGCAATTGAATATCAGCCCTTCTACTTACTCTGGCTACACAATTTAGTCAAAACCCTCCCAGCTGATGCTGCTTAACGTATTGACTTAATAATCTTGCCTCGGCGCGGCGTCTTGCTAGAATGGGACTTCCGACGACTTATTATGAAAATCTGCCAGCACAGAGGTGCCCCGGCGGCTGCCGGTCCTTCTCTGTCGTTGTACGTACTCAAATGCTGGGTTCTGATGGCCTCGAGCTCCTGGCAGATCATCTCGCACAACGGCATTATCTTGTACAGTTTATTTAACCGTCACATCAATAAATCTTTTGTCATCGACTTCTTGTTCAACGCTGGCGGCGTCGTAACGAGGGCTGTTGGATAATTAATCACGCATTCCATTGTTCTGTGTCCAGCCAGATCCCAGCCCTAACCTGTCTATTCATTTTATTTGCAGACCGCGGATAAATTCGAGTTCGATCGAGGAATCAATTGAAGCTGTTCAAACGCGGTGCTGAAGGCAGCTGTGCGGTCATGAATTTTTGGGAGTAGAGCGGACAATAGCAACACTGCTAAGTCCGCGTTCTTATCGACGGAGACTCGTTCAGACTTATCGAATGAAGATGGTCGTTCCCTCGTGTTAGGGCAAAGAGTTCGGTCATAAAGTGGCCGTGGTTTGATGAAACGTATTTCTCAGAGTCCGAGATCGGCCTCGTGCCAAAGCCATAAGGCAACGACCAAAGTTGGCATATGCTCAGATCCTGCAACCGTGTTAATTTTTGCTTACACTCACTAGCTGCTGGATAAAGTTCAGAATTGATAGGAACACAGGGGAAGTTTTGACATTTTGCCGCCAGTGAAACTACATTCAAAAGGTATTTTGGAACGCTCTGGGCTAGGTCTGGAATGCTCTGGGCAGGTTCAGATCTGCTTTTGATTGAAATCTTGCAAGATGTAAAATGTTGAAATTCCCGATCAGTGTAATTGTATTATCCGTTGAACGAACTGACGTATATGCAGGAGCAATGCAGGAGAACTATTCTCCTTGACAAATATACGATAGAGCTGGGAAGCTTCAAGCAGCCTTGCGGTGAATCGCCGATTCCTGGGCCTGCCAGTGAGCGCTGAGCTTTTGTTTGGCTATTGATAGCTACGAGAACTGACCTATGTAGTAAACCTAGAAGCAGTGGAAGCAGAGCTCCTTGCCGTAATGAAAGATGACCAGCTGTAAAATATCTATTGACTTGTCATAAGACCATCAATGACAGCTGCAGTGACACCGCACGTACCTAGTATACTACTGATTTTATGACCAGATGTAAATGTCAATAGAGTCCCGGGAAGCTTCGGAAGGACTCGGACACAAGCCTAACCTCGCTGAGGATGATGAGCATCTGTTACATTTATAACTGAGCTCATCCTTCGGCTGCACAACATGCGTCAACGTTAGACACTTGCTACAGCTGATGCGGTTAGTACTCACCTGAACCAACTACCATGACTTTGTGTCCACTATTCAAGTTGGTCTATGGCAACCTACTTATGGTAATAAGCGAACTGTCATCGCCCGCAAGTGTCTACCCAATTTGTTCCGTACTCATTGTCCAGCACGGCACATTGCAGAAGTGTTCTGCCTCTATTATTTAATCTCTACGTGTTTTCTACTGTCTCTTGACTTGTAGAAATGCTATCGAAACGAGTAATCGCAGCCGCTCGCAGTCGTGCATTTTTCGCTCCCAGAAGTGCTCAATACACTGCTGTATCGTTGTCGAAAGGATGGCGCGTATTCTCTGTTTTTTTTCTGCTATTGATATAGCTGACGAACGACTGCTTTCTTGTATGTATAGGAAAGTCGCCGACTACATCAGACGCGCACAGCTCCATTCCAAGACCGTAAAGGTCCCACAGATGGCCGAGTCTATCTCCGAGGGCACACTACGATCATGGTCAAAACAGGTTGGGGATACCGTCGAGGCTGATGAGGAGGTTGCAACCATTGAGACGGATAAGGCGGGTATTAGCTTATTGGCGCCTCCGAAAAGACTAATCCTCCCTCGCGCCAGATTGACGTCAGTGTCAATGCGCCTACAGCAGGGAAGATTGTGGAGTTGCTTGCAAAGGAGGAAGACACTGTTAATGTTGGCCAGGACCTCTTCATAATTGAACCTGTCGAAGGCGGCGGTAAGCCTCGTGTAACTTCGTGACACGCTATTTCATCACACATTTTCATATGCTTTAGTATCTGCTGCTTCAACTCCTGAGGAGCAGAAGACAGATCCTGAAGAACCTAAGGACCAGCAACTGAACAAGACGATACCAGAGTCGCCTGCACCATCAACTGCCGACAAGCAGAGTGGCGGCATCCCTCCAGACGGACCCAAGGAGTCTAAGAAGGAGGTAAAGAAACAGGATTCGAAACCAAAGGAGGACAAGTCGAAACCACCACCTCCTGCGCCAAAGGCCCCCGGCAATCGAGGCGAGACAAGAGTATGCAGCATTACTATACTTATTTTGATAGTGTTGACGTGCTTCGTCTCTTAGGTCAAGATGAACCGTATGCGCCTGCGCATTGCCGAGCGTTTGAAGGAATCGCAAAACGCTGCCGCTTCGCTCACGACCTTTAATGAGATTGACATGTCCTCTCTCATAGAGATGCGGAAGAAGTACAAGGACGAAGTGCTCAAAGAACATGATGTAAAACTCGGCTTTATGAGCGCGTTTGCTCATGCGTGCACTCTGGCCCTCAAGGAGATTCCTGCTGCAAATGCGTCTATCGAGGGCGACGAGATTGTCTACCATGATTTTGTTGACCTGAGTGTTGCTGTCGCGACGCCCAAGGGCTTGGTCACCCCGGTGGTGAGGAATGCTGAGAGCATGGGCTTTGTTGGGATCGAGAAGGAAATTGCTGCCCTCGGAACCAAGGCAAGCATTGTATGAATTGCATTCTCCTGCAGTTTACCTATTGTCTTCAGGCCAGAGATGGTAAATTGAGTCTCGAGGACATGGCAGGAGGCACCTTCACCATGTGAGCTCCTTTGATTCTAAATCCAAACCCATACTAATTTTGCGCCCTTAGTTCCAATGGTGGTGTCTTTGGCTCGTTGTACGGAACGCCCATCATCAACCTGCCACAGTCTGCTGTGCTCGGCATGCACGCAATCAAGGACAAACCTGTCGTTGTAAACGGCCAGATCGTCATCCGACCCATCATGGTCGTCGCTCTCACCTATGACCACAGACTACTCGATGGTCGGGAGGCAGTCACATTCCTAGGTTCGTACTCTTCTATCTCACGTGACCGTTATCTGACGCGTTGATGCGCCGTTTGCAGTGAAGGTCCGCGACTATATCGAAGACCCTCGGAAAATGCTTCTTGCATCGAGCTGATCTTGTCTTGGCGATTGTTTCATGTTTTTATTTATTCCATCCGTGATGTATTTACATTGAACACCAGGCCATAATTGGACCCTACCACACTAATATTTCGGCCTCTGTAAGAGGCTGAGATGAGACTCTGATAATTTGCAGAAAGTCAAAGAGTGATGTGCCTCTGTTAATTCTCTTATATTTCTGCACTCGCTCGTATCTATTGTCAACAATTGTTGACAGCACTGAGCAAGTACTAAATGTTGCTCAACGTGGCACTAGGTCACGTGCGTGGGCGTCACAAAACCACTGGTGAAGTTTGAATATACCAACACAACTGTTTACCTAGAGGGACGACCTACAACGAGCCTACCAATTGCAACGACCAGTTCCAAGATGTCAAGTAACGACCGTAAATTGCCAAGTGCTCGCTCACGAGGTAAGTAACGCGACAATAGGCTTGAAACTTACAAATTAACCTCATGGATATTATTTACAGGACCCTCTCTCGCTGTGCGATTCTATTTAATTGCATTCAATGCATTATCGGCGGTAGGATGGGCCTATGTCATTTATCTCGCTCTTGTCGTGTTCGGAGGTCAACGCGCTTCAAGTTCAGCATACGACCTCTTCAAACCACTTGCTTCATATGTGCCAACTTCAATCGTAGCATTCTTCATACCGCAGCCTAAAACAACAAACAATTTCTCCACCACTCTTGCATATTCCTTACATCCATATTTTCCCGCAACATACGAATCCACGTTCTCTGCCCTTGCACCTGTGCAGTCGCTTGCCGCCCTTGAAATATTGCATGTCCTCCTTGGGTTTGTGCGCTCCCCGCTCCCGACAACTGTCGTCCAGGTCTCCTCGCGTCTTATCCTGGTCTGGGGAATCGTTCACCGCTTTCCAAGTACCCATTCGAGCCCAGTCTATACCACTATGATCCTTGCCTGGGCGCTGACCGAAGTGCCACGCTACGCCTACTACGCGCTCTCCCTTGCAGGTTGCGGCGTGCCTGCATGGCTGACATGGATACGCTATTCCACATTTTATGTCCTATATCCCATCGGCGCGGGAAGTGAGGCTCTGGTCATGTTGAGCACCATTTCAGAGTGGAGTAACGGCAGGTGGACAGTGTGGAGCACCGAGGACTGGGTCAAGGCGGGTATGGTGGCAATTTGGGTGCCTGGTGAGTTGTGCATGCTATTTTGTATTTGGTCGCTGACTCCTGGTGCTTGTAGGACTGTGGGTGATGTATTCTCATATGATGCGCATGCGCCGCAAGGTGCTTGGCGTCGGCAAGGGCCAGAAGTTGGGAGCAAAGCCCAAAGACAGGCTTAAGGCGGAGTGAGAGGTACCATGAATACGAAATGTCGCCAATTATTCGCATACCCTGGAACTAATTACCTTACGATATTATCACGCCTAGAATCATCCCCCACTACTTGTGTAGTGCAACCCAGTATGTGCAATTCATCTCGGGTGGGCTGGATGTATCGTGTTGCACGCGCAGACACATACAGGTACAGAGTGAATTGTGTGAGCAAAGTGGTTCGGTTTTATCAAAGTTCGCTTAAAGCTCTGGCTAACGAGTTAGCAGCAGCAGCATATTGCCTGTCGTACTTGATCCCGCCGACTCGTGATGTGAGCATCCAATGTCTTGCTTCAGCCAAATGCAATGCAATCTTGATTTTTTTGCGTTTTAATCTGGGCTGGAAGGTCAGCTCAGGCTGTCATGTCACCGAAGCACGCTGTTCAATTCTGCAGCAGTGGCATGTTTCCTGTATGTCTGATCCGACCAACCTATTGATATGAGTGTCACCTGTCAAATGTCTGACTTCAGTCAGATACGACATTGCCCCCTTTCTTTCTTTCAGGCTATTGGAGCGTACTGTTAGTCCGGATTGAAATTCTATGCCAATGGTTTAAAAGACTTGTTTCGTCTTCAGTTCTCCTTCGCCCTTTACTTTTTCCACTACCATGCTTCCCCATTTCCCCGTTTCCTTTCTCTTCCTGACTGCAGGCGTGTTGGGTTCTCCTATGTATGACATGATGATTTATCCCCCAATGTACGTGCGTGATACATTTGGAACGTTCAACCACACACAGGACCTGTTCGCCTCGACCGTCATCCCAATCTTCGATGTCCAGCCTGTGGTGAGCTTCTGTTTCATGAACCGTTCTACAGGACTAACTTGTACACCCAGATGGCCGAGATAGAAGGTCTCCAACTAAAATACCAGGATGCTCTTGATTTCTTGAGTGGCAAGAACCTCGTGGCACTACCAGACGCTCTTTCAGATCCCGGGCTTGACGCTCTGTCAGACGCAGCGTTTACCGATACGACGAGCGACCTATCTGGTTTTGTGTTATTCGGATCAACCACGATATCACAGCAGGCGAACATGAGCTTTTCTAGGATGAATGCCGCTGCTCAGAGCGCGACAGACCCCCTGACAGACGAGATGCAGAAGATCATTCATGTCCCGTTCTTCGGCCAACTTGAATTTGGGAAGAAGGCACAACAACTCTCCGTGGCCTTTGACACGGGTTCTTCAGATATGTGGGTTCCTGCGAACTGCGGCGATTGCGGGACCCCGCAATATAACGCCGCTGCGAGTTCGACATACAGGGATACTGGGAACGCGTTCAATATGAATTACGTGCGTCTCCCTCCCGCTATCTCGGTGCTGGTTTGATGTTGTTGGGCAGGATGGCATCAGTTATGTAGAAGGGACTCTTGCGTATGATACGATTGGCATGGGCAGCTTAAAGGTCAACGACCAATATTTTGGTGCTGTCACTGATGTGTCGCGTAACTTCAATGCCGACATGATCTCCGGGTGTCTGGGGCTTGGTTTCAGCTCCATCGCGACGTCAGGGAAGCCAACGTTCTTCGAGAATTTGATCATGCAGGAAAAGATCGAAGCACCATTCTTCTCTGTGCATTTAACGAGAGGAAAGACGCGTGGGTCGAAGGTACGTTGCGCATTAGCGTTCATATAACCGTAATTGAGAAGATTTTTTTTAGATAACTTTGGGTGGTTACGACATGTCCAAGGCGGTGGGACCTATGACATGGGTCTCGGTCATTTCCAAGGTTGCCCCTCCAGCACCCTTCAAGGGTTGCGTCTAACTGGATTCTTATTCGCAGACCTACTGGACAGTGCATTTCGACGGAGCTGTTGTCGGAGGGAACTATGTGTCTGGTAACGTCGATGCGGTAAGGTTCAACTTGTCAGCCAGAAATTCACGCAGGTTCACCTCGTTTCATATGAACAGGTGATTGACACAGGTTCTAGTTTTATCTACGTTTCACAGACATTGGCATCTTCGATCTACGCCAATGTCAGTCTCTCGCTATTTGCTTCTTTCGTCACCTTGCTGACAAGTTGTAGATACTCGGGGCTGGCCCCGCAGCAAACTACAAGCTCTGGCTTCTTCTCCTATCCGTGCGACTCCAACACCACGATTTCATTCTCGCTTGGCGGGCACGGATTTCGGACTTAGTATCCAGGACTTTAACCTCGGACAAGATGGTCATGGGTCAACGTAAGCCAGTGTGTCTTCATATCATGTATGTCGCTTGAACCAGTGCAGAAACTGCATCGGCGGAATCATTGGCCTGGACGATGCATTCATGGAAGGAATTGTTATTATCGGTAAGTTGTTTGAGTATTTGGTTTGTTCTCTTGGATGTTTTGTTGACGTCACGTACTGCAGGGCATGAGTTTATGAAATCATGTGAGTGGTGTATTGTTGCACGTCATTTGATCTGGAACGCTCCTGACTGTGATTGTATAGGGTACTCGGTATTTGACTACTCGCACGGGGCGCGGGTGGGTTTCGCGCCTAGCATCAATAATGCGCAGTAAAATATTTTGTATAATTGATACCCATGCTCGGATATATAGAGTGTCTTGGTTGGGAAGATTATTGCTTCGACGGAACTCCACCAGCGTTCTGAATATTTGAAATGTAACAGAAAAACAGCGTTGACGCCAGCTTCCTGGGAAGGAAGCCTGTGTTCTGCTCACAGGATACGACCTGGTAAAGACGTAGTAGACCTTGAAATCTGTGTGGCTACGGACATGAACTACAAAGTCACATTGATTACTGCACTTGCTGTAGTTGGAGTAAAATGGTTCAAGTGTAATTCGCGTGTTTACGGTGCGGTGAGGTAAACAAGATCTGTAGGGGGCTGCCAGACGCTCACAAGATGCTGTACAGAAAAATTGTTTATACCGAAGGATGCGGAATTAAAGCAGGTGTATAATGCACCACCCGTACAGGATTGAGAGAGTTGCCTATGCCAGTGAGTCTGTTGCTGTGTTGCCACGAGGCCAAGTGAGTCACAAATCACAGGAGGTTGATGTTGAGGATGATTCGAACGAATTCGAAAGCCGAGATGCAATCAATTCGTTAACATCATGATGTTGTTCACGGCCGCAGCAGAAAGTGCGTACAGTGCCTAAGCCTTGCTTTGAAGCGATGCTTTGCTTCTAAAACTCTCAAAAGCCGTCAACGCATCGACAACCCTCCTGTCTGATAGGAAAAGACGGCTTAATAGCGCAAACATGGAAAAATTCTGGTACCCCTAAGGCCAGGAGCATTGAGGACACCATCTAGAAATCAAGCTAGCTGTTCAAGAGATTGATAACTTGTAAAGCTGACGGAAAATAATGGGATATATACCGCTGATTGCTTCGAATGTGTTTGAAAATTTTTCCATTGTCACAGGCAAATAGGTATACCGCAGGAGTGGAGTGCCGTGCTTAACTATCATAGGGGCGTCTCACAGCCAATCTCGCCCTCCGCGGGCCCGCAGCCAGTCTAGCACGACCTGGATCTGCAGCCAGAATTATAAATCCGAACGGCAAAATCCCCGAAGCCATAGCATACTGATAAGAAGTGAAAATTGACTTCGGTGGAGGAGCGAGAAAGAGTAACGAGCCTCTTGGTCTCTGGGGGTCATGCTCTGCTTCTTCAATTCCTAAGTATCCATGACAGACCGTCCCTGCATTGGTGCTGTTACGACATTCGGCCAGAGCCGAGGAATTTCGAAATTAATGACAGTGTGTATTGATTGTTCAAGGGACAGCAATAACGGACAAGTCCAGGGTATGCCCTTTTGGGAGTCGGCATATACGGAAAGGACAGTCGTATAACTCGGAAAAGCACAGCCCGGCTTACTCGTTAACTTGAGCGTGGTACATGAAGCCAATCATGAGAATCATTGTTTCCGCCACCAATAAACTCCATCATCGTAGATGGTGTCCCCCCGGAGACTCGCCAACCATTCAAGTTGATCGATGGGTGACTTTCTGACCATTTGATGGGATCCCTCGAGAAAATATAGATGCCATCGTCGACAGTTGTGCAGTACAGCCCAGTTATTTCATTGGTACTCGCATACCAGCGGATGGATCTGGATCTGGTCACGTCCTCCTGGTCGCTAGAAGCACTCTAGCAGCATTGCGAAGGAATATCCACTCATGCAGTGTTCGGTGTGCTTGAACGGAACCGCCAGCAGTTCAAGCGTTGGAGTGCTAGTCTCCGGACGTTCAAAGTTCAGATACTAGGAGAACGGGTGCGAACTTGAAGATGAAGAGCTCACTGGGTATAGACTCGCGAACATTCCGTCTGTAAGGTCACCAGTCTACTGTGGAGGCGTCTTCCGCCCGACTTTCCATTGATGGTGCCTGCGTGATGATAGACGATTGTCAATTTCTATATGATACTCAGAAGTTAAGAATTCTGACTGCGACTCCTACAATCAAGTTGTGAGCGAGATAACACCAAAAACCTGAATTCTGCTTCAGAACTTGCATGCTAGTTCCTACATATGGTCATCGAGAAAAAGTTACATAGCCGCAAGTAGAGAGGTACTACTGCGAAAAAGTTGCGCGCATCACGGAGGATGGCCTCAACATTGTTGTTGTCTATTTGACAATAGCCCTAAGATGACACGCAGACATTTCAGAGGTATTATTCGTCCACTCACATCAACTTGGATGCCTACCCATGCGTTGTGAGATCATCCTGTGTTCGGAAGGGCGAGGCAGCAAAGTTCACATTGAGATCCAGGCTCGATCCGCTATTCGACCCAGTACTCACGAATGTGACGACAGGCGATCTCCCCAATTTCAATGCGCTGTCCGAATCAGTCTCAATCTCACAGCAGGCCAACATGAGGGACGCCACTCAGAGTAGGGCAGGCCCTTTATTAGACAAGATATAAGGAAACATTTATCCAGTGATACTACGGGCAGCAAGTGTTAACGACTGGGCCAAGGCAGGTTTCGTGGTAGTTTGGGTGCCTGGTCTTACATGCCACTTTACATTTGGTCACCGACTCCGCGTTCCGGAAGGGCTGTAGGCTATGTATTCACATATGACACACATGCGCCGCAAGGTGCTTTGTGCCGGTAAGAGCCAGAATTTGGAAGCAAGGTTTGAGGCGGGGTGAGGGATGCCATGAGTATTCGCGAGAACGCAAAATGTCATGACTATTCATAATGCCCTAGAATGACTTACTTGATGATATCGTCAAGCCTCGAGTCATCCTCCACTAATTGTGTCGCGAGTTCCTCGTCTGATGGACTCAAGGGAGGCTGCACATGTCGCGCTTCACCTACAAGTACACATGGGACTTGTGCAGTAAAGTGGGTGGGTTGATTTAATTAAAATTTCTCTAAAATTCTTGCTAACGGTCAGCAGCAGCAGTACATTGTCTGTCGTATTTGATCCATCACTCAGTGAGGTGAGTGTAATCTGCTCGATGTCAGGTTTCAGTCAGATGCACAGGGTTTCCATCATTTATCTTTTAAAAGCAGCATCTCGATCTGGGCTGGTAAGTCCTCACTATTATATTACAGGAAGAGTGCGCCGCCAGTCTAGATTGGAATTCCATGTCTGGTTTAAAGACTTGCTTCAACCTCCAACTCCCGTCATTTCTCCTTCACTATTTACCATGTCTACTACCAAGTTTCCCCGCTTCCATTTTTCCTTTATCCTCCTGATTGTAGGCGCATTGAGCTCTCCCATATATGATATGGCACCCCCGATGTACGTGCGTGATCCCTTCGGAACGCTCAACCACACCTAGGACTGGCACAGCTCGACCGTCGTAGTTGAAATCAACATTCCAATCTTCAATTCGCAAGTCGCGGTAAGTTTCTCTCGTATGCAATTTTCTGCAAGACTAACTTGTATGCTCAGATGGCCGAGTTAAAAGCCATCAAACTAAAATACGGGACTGCACAAGATGTTATAGCTGGAAAGAATCTCGTGGTGCTACCAGATGCACTTTCAAACCCTAGACTTGATGCGTTGTCAGACGCGGCGCTCACAGATGCAACGAGCAACCCCTCTAGTTTTGTGTTGTCTGAAAATCCAACCTCACATCAGGTCAAGAGTTTTTTCGCGATGGATGCCGCCGCTCAGAGTGCGACGGACCCCCTGACGGACGAGATAGTTGGGAACATTGACCTCCAGTACTACGGCCCAGTTAGCTTTGGGAACGAGACACATCCACAGAAACTCTCAGTGATCATAGACACGGGCTCTGCAGACCTCTGGATCCCTGTGGGCTGTGGCAATTGCATGAACCGGCAATATGAAGCTAATGCAAGTTCAACGTACATAGACACTGGGAACCCATTCAATGTGACTTATGTGCGTCTCCCTCTCACTATCTCTGTGCAGGCCTGATGTTGCTGGGCGGCAGGGATCTGGCAACGTAGGAGGCACCCTTGCGCATGATACGATCAGTATTGGTAGTCTAAATATCGACAAGCAATACTTCGGTGCTGTGACTCACGTATCAAATGACTTCAATAACGATCCGATCTCCGGCCTCATTGGGCTTGGTTTCAGTTCTATCGCGACATCAGGGGAGCCAACGTTCTTCGAAAACCTGATCATGCAGGACAAGGTCTCGGCACCATTCTTCTCTGTCTATTTAACAAGAGGAAAGGCGAGCGGGTCGACAGTACGTTGTGCTTTAGCTTTGATATGATCATAATCGAGATGATTTTAGATAACTCTTGGAGGTTTCGATATGTCGAAGGCAGTGGGACCTTTGACATGGGTCCCAGTTATTTCCAAGGTTGCTCCTCCTGCACCTTTAATGCCTCCATTTTAACTGGTTCTTATCGACAGACCTACTGGACAGTGCAATTCGACGGAGCTGTTGTTGAAGGGAAAAATGTAACTGGTGACCTCCATGCGGTAAGGTTTAGTCTGTTAGCTGCATATTCACTCAGTTCCATCTTGTTTCCCTGTGTAGGCAATTGACACAGGTACGACTTTGATATACCTCTCGCAGGCGATAGCATCCTCGATCTACGCCAATGTCAGTCCTTCGCTCTTTGCTTTCTACGTCAGCCTTGCTAACGAGTCATAGATACCCGGGGCTGGCCCTGCAGTAAACTACGGTTCCAATTTCTTCTCCTTTCCATGCGACTCGAACCCCACGATCTCATTCTTACTTGGTGGGCACAACTTCGACCTCAACATCCAGGACTTCAATCTCGGACAAGAGGCTGACGGGTCAAAGTAGGTCAAAGTGTGCTCATTAGATACATGCTGCCTGAACGAGCACAGAAATTGCATTGGTGGAATCGTCGGAATAGACGACGCATTCATTGAAGGATTTGCTATCATCGGTAAGTGTTTGAGTACCTTGTTCATTTTGTTGAATGTATGATGATGTCGTGCTGCAGGAGATGAGTTTCTGAAATCATGTGAGTACTGTCTTGTTTGTACGAGTTTGATCTGGAACGTTCGCGATTGTCGTCGTCCAGGGTACTCGGTGTATGACTACTCCCATGGGGCACGGGTGGGTTTCGCCCCAAATGTTAATAATATGCAGTAGGATATTTGGAATTCTTGATACCCCGACGGACATCAGCGTGTCTAAGTTTGGGAGAGATAGCGGACTAGGTCTGCCTAAGTAGACAGTATCGTTGCTATCGTTATCATTATCACTTCAACGGACTTCAGATTAGATATAGATCAGAGCCTGTCTCACAGCTGACTTGAGCCACGACAATGCGCCATTCTGTCAACATCAAGGGGTCTTAACAAGGTGACAGAGAAACAGCATTGACATCGACCTATTATTGACTGACTTCAGCCTATTACATCAAAATTACATGATATGAACGCCAAGAGGGGTGTATTGTACAAGAAGCGATGACAGGTGACCAGTGTCGACGTCATCAAATAGTCAAAAGGTAACCTCATGGATCAAAGCATAATGCTAGTACTTCTCCCTGGGAAGGAAGCTTACACTGCTTACAGCCTGAGGGGCGACCAGTGATCTTGTAGTATTACTCGAGCCCCTTATAGAAGCTGATTGAAATCAGTTACTTGACGTCATCGACGAGATGAGAGCGCGGACAACGCGTCTAAGTCATTGTTACCATTCGCGAGTGTGAGAATGATGATGGTCAATGGCGGTGGTACAGGCGCAGGCAGGCTCGTATTTTGGAACACCTGATGATGATACCAATAGATACGAGCAGCCTCCATACCGTGAAAGATGGTGTTGAGGCCGGAGACATCGATTGTTGGATAACTCAGTGACAGCGTGTCCGGTGTTGTCAGCGCATCCTCAATCCCCGGAGAAGGATGAAGGCAGCGAAAATAATTGGCGAGTGGTGCTTGATGCGTTGGAAGGCGCATGTACTGGTGAAACTTGACTTAGTCTGGACATGCAAAGATATAGACAATAAACAACCTGAGTTGTAAGGTAGGAATCGAGGTTTGGGTGGCGATTTTTGTGTAAATAAATCGTCGCTGACGTTAGCTTGTGCCAGAAGGTTATCCTGTTCGTGGTCAAGAGGAGGCCCTATTCCTGGCAGAGGCAAATTTGCAGCTGACGAGGTTTTCGAGGTCTTGTCATCTCGGTCTTACGTTACGCTGCACGTACCTTGTTTTCGGGAGCTTTGTGGAGCCAAAGTAATATTTCGGAAGGGCTCATCGATTCCGTGAAGTCCACTCAGTAATTACATCTCCATGTCTTCTTGCTGGCGCTTCATGGTGGATATGGCACCGTGAGCGACTATAGTATATCCGGGTGAAGTTGCGAACATGGTAATCCCAACATACTGCACTTGAAGCGGGCGAATCAACAGTGACGACCTTGACCTTATTGTCTTGCAGTTTGTCTACACGTGTTCGTGACCAAGATCCGTGAGAGGCTGCCACATGATGCTGTACAATAGGATAGTTCATATGGCTATGTGGATGCACCACGGTGACCGTACCAGATTGGAAAGGATTAACTGTATGACAGCATAAGCAGGCAAGGCTGTTCCTTATGCTGTGTCGCCATGAGGCCAAGTTAATTTACCTGGTATGACATCAAGGAGGAGGTCAAAGCCGAAATGCATGTCGAATGGGTCAATGATGCGCATGATGGCATACCGCAGCATGAGTTTAGTGTGACGTGTGACCTCACTCAAAAGCGATAGAGTATATATGGAAATTTCGATTATCGCCGTCCCTCCACCTCAACACCCACAACTGACTTTCGATGCAGCCAGACTCTGTGTCCGCTCAGGACGACGTTTCTTCTTATAATGCTCCTAGAGCTCCAGTTCCTGTATCCTCGCAGAGACCAGCACCACGTCCACCACCCCCTTCAGGTGGTGCGCCCCGTAACACTTTAAGTGGTCTACTCGCAAACAGAGGCGGAAATGCTCCAATACCCCCTTCATTGCAAGCAAAAATGACAGCAGTATGTATTTTGCTGTTGATTCTTGACTTGACCGAATTTTTTTATTGCTGAGTCTGACCTACCTTGTTCAGCTGATGAAACGCGGATCAGCTGCGTCACCCGGTTCGGCTATCGATTCCGCAGCACACGCGCAACGTGCTTCCATAAACGAACCGAATCATCCAATTCTTCAACCTTCTTTCTCATCTCCCGCTTCATCAAGCTCGTCGCCCATACATGCTCGCGGACGCGGTGGCGGTGCTCCTGCTGCGGGTAGACGCAATAGGCCAGAATTTAGATTATCCGACATGAACCCTGAAACGGGAGGCGGTGCCATTGGTGCAGGGCTGGGAGCAGGGCGTCCATCGCTAGCTGAAGCCAGAAGAGGACCCTCATCCTTTGATAGTCCGTTTGCAAATTTCAACAGGATCGTGTTCGTATCTCTCTTTTCCGCTATCAGGAGCTACATACAACTTCTTACCTCTTTTTAGTGATCCTTCGGGACGCCTCAACTTCGCAGGGAAAGCCGTTCTCCATGCTTCCGGTGTCGATTTTTCCAATGGATCATCTTATACTATAAATATGGAACAGCTCGTTCTCGAGCAGGAACTCGGCCGCGGTAACTATGGGACAGTCAAGAAGGTTCTGCATCTCCCAACAAAGGTCGAAATGGCTATGAAGGTTCAGCCCCTGACACGTTTTTGATCTCCCTTATCTAATCGCTGCTTTCAGGAAATCCGTCTCGAGCTAGACTCCACTAAACTCAATGGAATATTGATGGAGTTGGACATCCTGCACCGCGCTGTAAGCTCATACATTGTGGAATTCTATGGTGCCTTCTTCGTGGAATCGTGCGTGTACTACTGCATGGAGTACATGGATGGTGGCTCGCTGGCTTCTTTGTGTTGCTTTCCGAATGGTAATGTTTCTCTACCGCCAAGTTTATCTTCCAGTCCGGGCTCTGCATGGACGTCTAGCCCTCCACCACTTGCCGATGAGCATCTCTGCCGCATTGCGTCGTCCATGACGCATGGATTAGAATTCCTCAAAACTGAACTTGGGGTTATGCACCGGGACGTCAAACCTACGAACGTCCTTGTGAATCGCAAGGGCGAAGTGAAGCTTTGCGATTTCGGTGTTAGCGGACAGCTGGAGAAGAGCATTGCGAAGACCAATGTCGGTTGTCAAAGTTACATGGCTGTAGGTTCCTGCCTCCGATTAGCGCTGAACTCCGTTGATCGTGTGCTTCCGCAGCCCGAGAGAATTAAGGGTTCTTCACCATCTGGATCTAATATGGAAGATGCCTTCACTTCATACACGGTCAGCGCGGATGTATGGTCCCTGGGCTTGTCGATCGTTGAAATTGCACGAGGAAGGTGTGCCCTAGTCGATTGTATTTTTGGCGCAGAACTGATCAATCGATAGATACCCATACCCTCCGGAAACTTACGAGAATGTATTTGCACAACTAAGTGCCATCGTGGACGGCGAAGCACCTGGACTGCCAGAAGACGAAGAAATCGAGGTTCAAACTCAGGATAATGATGCATCGCCAGGACAGTCCAGCTTCACGCGCAAGGGAAAGCAAAGATGGTCTCCAGAAGCGCGTGACTGGGTTCGACAGTGCCTCATTAAGAATGCAGACGGGCGAGCCACTTACAAGGAGTTGCTTGCACATCCATGGATGCAGACTGATAGATATCGTAACGTTGATATGGTGAGTTGGGTAGCAAAGGCGATCGAATGGCGGGATCGGGGAGGGAGATAAGCAGGTATTGTTCATTCGCATTAGCCATTGTTTCATGCACCTATCTGCATTTCTCGTTTGACACCGCGCTTTCTCCACATAGATACTCAACGCATACCTCCATCGCTTTCTTTACCCAACATTCTTTTTGCTCATATGTATTATCACTCACACTTGCGCATTGGCGCTGGTCGTTGATATACCCTAATCCCCTTTTCGATGTTGACGTTGCCCACTATTTTTTGGGATTTGTAGTAGACCATAGTGGGCCATTATATTGTTTTTCTTCGTGGGCATGTAGCTTTAGTTTTGACTTGCAATTAATGGGACCGGTTGTTTGGTCGTGTTAGCATCCAAGGGCGTCACGTCACTCTTTCGAGTACTTTGAAGTATCTTGTGTTCAGATCATATCGGCTTGAGCCGAAGGTTTCAAGCTGTCGTCACTCCACCAAGGTGATTGCTTGTCTAATGGTGTATTGTCTGATCGTACTCACATTCCGCAGTCATCATCAGCTTCGTGCTGTTTCTTCGCGCGGCGTACACTTTTTTCCGCGGCACACTTTTTCGCCAGTCCAAACACCCGTTCTCTGTAATGATTCATGTTAAATGGGACCGGGAGACCCTGCATTTTCCACTGCCTCCTCCGGAGACTAAGCTCGGAAAACTGAGAGCAGACCTAGCAGAATATACCCACCTTCCTCTCGGATCCTTCAAGCTCATTCACGCTGGAGCTGTGATGAAGGATGATTCCGCGCCACGTATGTAGAGCCATGTGTGTTTTCAGCATGGTGCCTCAACTTGATATTTTTTCAGTGACAGCTTATAAAATACGCGAGAACTCTACTATTGCGCTGATCGGCGGTCATTCACTTCCATCAGCACCGACGCCTGCACCGCCATCTAGGCCACAACCTAAAGTGAAAGAGCCTCCAACAGAACAAAGCACTATCACTGCTATCTGGACGGAGCTCGATCGTGTACGGACAACACTGGTACCAGACGTCGACGCATTGGTCAACGCTCTTACTCCTTCCGCGACCACAACCGTGTCATCCCCAACACCCACATCAGGAAGTGCACCAACGCAGTCATTTAGCTCCACTGCGCAAGCTCCTCATTCAACCCCTTCTCATCCTATGCCCATTTCATCGAAACCCACTTCGTCGGATCACACGCGCTTATCCGAACTTCTTCTGCAGTCGTTGTTGCGTCTTGATGCTATGCATCTGGCGGGATCGGATTGGCCTGAGGCTCGAGCGGAACGTAAAGCTGCTGTTCGCGAGGTTCAGGGAGTGCTTGACCGGTTGGATGGCGCTTGGTCGGCGCGATGAGTGCTGCTGGCTTAGGATATATAGACGGGAGCTAGCAGGTTCACTATTAGTATTAGATGATAGAGGATATGTCTTGGACTCTGGATGGTATATCCCTTAGTATATAGCGGAACTTTTGATTTTATCCTCACAAAGTTCCAGTTTGTCGCCTCATGCAAGACAGAATTCTAGCTTCAAAAAGTGAAACTACTGTGATTCAGTTGGTCAGTTCTGTCGATGCCAGCAGAAGGTAGCAATCAAGACTCCAACTAGGTCACTGGTTAATGCCTACATTTAGTGACGTAAAATATGCTTCACAAAGCCTTCGCCCCACTAGCTAACGTGATGTACAACAACTCGCCTAGAGGGTGAGATAAACGGGTGCTGCATTTCATACACGCTCTTGCGAAATGACTCAATGATGCGAAGAGACTTTGTAAATAACAAGCCTCGAGATATTATTTTTAATAATAAGTGGACTACTTCATGCTGTCAGGGTCGGATATGAGAAAGAGAGTAACCTCCTACCAGTATACTGCGTTGCTCGATGGCACTCTTGCCAATATCGCCTGCCCTTGACTGCGAGGTCCGTCTGTTTCGTTTCGAACGTCGTGTAGAGGTAGGGCAGACCAGATGGGCCAACATGAGACATCGTAGCTGGGTTTAGAGAAGGAACATGAGGCGTGGAGGCCTATGAACGTTCCTACGAAGAGCTCTGTGAGGAAAGCAAGAGTTAACAGTTCCCTCGTCGACGTGGTAGTGATATTTCTAGTGTTACTGCACTCCAGGAATTGATAGTTGGAAGATCAGTCGTTTATTCCTCGTGCAATATGGATGGTTATTACTATTCAACGTAACTTTGAGGTAAATTCGCCTGAGAATCTTCCTGGACCAATCCCATGAGTGTGTAGAGCAGAAGGCAAGCACGGCGGAGTAAAAAAATTGCATGATTATCAAATGTCATTACTTTCACAAACAACTTTGAGCCTAAGGCGGCTTCGAGTTGGGACATGCGTTATAAGGAGCCGTCGTCAACACGCAAGGGCCCCAATCCTTTTCTCTTTCTCGGTTTATCTTTGGCTTCATTCGGCGTCTTCTACTACATCGTCAAACGTCGAGAGACAGCTTATCCGGCATCGAAGCAGCCTAGACAACACGACAACCCTCTTATTCCTCCCCGACACCGAGATCAGTAACCTCAAACCAAACCAAACTGACATGGCAGAATCCACGTCTTCGCCCGTTTTTGACGCCAAGAAGGTCACTGTTATTTATGTCCTGGGCGGGCCCGGAGCTGGCAAGTTCCCACTCAGAAACCAATCGTCGCCCATACGGTGGTCTGATAAGTGTCATAGGGAAAGGCACGCAATGTAGCAAGCTCGTTGACGCGTTTGGCTTTTGCCATCTATCTGGTTAGACCTTGTTATCTGTTTATCACGGCTGATGTGAATATCGGACCTAGCTGGAGACCTTTTACGTGAAGAACAAAACCGAGAAGGGTCTCAATATGGTGAAATGATCCGAACATACATTCGAGAGGGTAATATTGTCCCATCCCATGTCACCATGAAGCTTCTCGAGAATGCTATGACCGAAGAGCTGAAGAAAAAGACGGGGTCCGGGTGGGCGGATGGTAAGGGTCGATTCTTGATCGATGGCTTCCCTCGGAAGATTGATCAGGCTATTGGATTCGATGAAACGGTGCGGGAGGACGTTGCTCACTTTACCATGATATTGATTTCAGGGTCTAGGTATGTCTTGCTTCACTGGTCATCTTCTTCAATACGTCGGAAGACGTGATGCTTCAACGCTTGCTGGAGCGCGCGAAAACCAGTGGACGAGAAGATGACAACGTCGAAACTATTAGAAAGCGTTTCCGTATGTGATACCTGCTCTTGTTTTCCTCAACTTACAATGAGATTAGGCACGTACAACGAGCAAACTATGCCCGTGATAGAACATTACAGGGCACTTAACAAGGTTGCAGAGGTAGGTAAAGGTTTATATCCGTCTTGCTCTGGCGCTCAGTCCTCGATGTATAGATCGATAGCACGGCAGCGGTCGAGGAAGTCTATCGTGCAGCATGTGCTACTGTTACCAACCTGTTTGCTTGAGTTATACCCAGAATACCTCTTAGACATGGAAATCGGAACACTTTTGTCTTCAACTTCGAGCTTTGTTGGGATATCGCTAGTGCGCTCTCAAAGTAAATTCAGGACCCTGACATACCACTTACAAGGGTAGAATTGTTACTAAATACATTTAGTTCGTTTCACAGCTAGCATGTAAAACATTGCTTGCAGTCATCCACGTTCAAGGGTACCACCAGGCTGTCAATCGCGAACCACATGCCAGTTGATTGTCTCGGAATTTACCGCCTTCTCAAGCATGACTCCTGCTTGGGTACTAGGGCCCACCTTGTGGTAGAAGATGGCCTACTGCCAACTAACTCGGTACTTAAGCGATTAGGCGCTGACCTTGCTTCAAGGGTATGAGAACCGGCAGAACCGCGGAGTCTTCACCGAGGACGCGGAACTGGTAGAGAAAATTTTGGCTGTCCGTTCCTGTCCCTTGTACATTTCTTCAACAAGTCCACCTTGATTGCAGTGCTCAACACCATCAACCTCCGGTAGAATGCCACGGGTTAAGCGGCTCCCTGCTCGCACCAGACTGTTCAGAAAGGACTCCCCCGTTCAGACGTTCAAAGATCACGAAGGCAAGGTAGCTGTAGTTGCAGTCTTGCACGACGGAAGGTACATTTCTTCAACAAGTCTACCTTGATTGCAGTGCCCAACACTATTAACCTCTAGTAGAATACAACCGGCTGAGCAGGCCCGCTGCTTGCACCGGACGGTCCAGAAAGGACTCCCCAGTTCAGACGTTCAAAGACCACGAAGACAAGTATATCTGTAGTTGCAGTCTTGCCCGATGGACGACGTATGGTGACGGGCTCGCATGACAAGACTCTTCGTTTATGGGACCTGACAAACGGGGTTTTGTTGAAGAAGTTGGAAGGGCATACCGAAGCAATAGATAACCTAGCGGTATCACGAGATGGCCAATTTATTGTGAGTAGCTGCGGTGATGGAAGGTTGATGGTCTGGCACGGAGACACTGGAGTTCATACCCGAACTCTTGACGCTCACTCGGGGACATTTTCCGGTTTGGATTTTTCTCCGGATAACAAGATACTAGCAACTGGTTCATGCGACGAAATGACGAAGCTCTGGGGGACAGAAAATTGGCAACTTCAGGGATATCCCATCACTTGCTGCATAGCCCCGTATACTCGATCAGCTGTTTACTGGCTTCGCTATTCGCCGTCTGGTGAACATCTTGCCATCGCGACGACTCATGATATTCAGATATGGAATCCAAGCACGAGAAAATGCATCACAACTTTCAAGGCTCATGCAGCAATCGAAGGTGCTGCCAATGGTGTATTACAATGGACGCCGGATGAGAGACGGCTTCTTTCAGCGGGCTTACAAGTTAGTCCCAATATATTGGAGTGGGATACACACACCTGGCCACAGGTCGGTGATCCCTGGAAGGGCCACAGTGCCTGCATCAGCGACATCGCCATTAACACTGCTGGCACTCTTGTCGCCTCCTCATCTTTTGACAAAGACGTCCGCCTTTGGAAGCTTTTGGATCGGCAGACTATTGCCATATTCAAGCACTCCGACCAAGTATTCTGCGTCACCTTCACACTCGATAGCAAGCATGTCCTCAGTGGAGGCAATGATAGCATGATCTCACAGTGGAAAAGTACCTTGTGATGCTTTGCAGGAGGACGTACAGGAACTACAACAGGTAAGCTCGCCCTTATTTATCTGTTCCCCCGCTATTTCATCTCACATCTTTTGAAAGGCTCGAGACGCTGAACTAAATGTACGTGTATATCCTTAATTGGCGTGATGTAATTGGAGCTGTATGTAGATTCTCGCTGTACACACGGCAGCTCGTAGTGCGTGTCTCGACGGGAAGCCGAGGGACGCTGTGAAGCTCCTCACGCAAGAGATAGATGCTGATCCTAACAAGCATATCCCCTATGCCAATCGTTCTTTTCTCATGTCGCGATTATATGATTGGGAATCTGCGCTTCATGATGCAAATCAGGTCAGAAACACTGACCCACGATGACCCTTCAGTAGCCTAACTTTAATCGTGCTTTAGTCCATCACCATCAAGCCCTCGCTGACAGGTTATATCTCCAAGGGTATTGCCCTCTGCGGCAAAAGGCAGTTTCAGGAATCAACCGCTGCATTTGATATTGCGTTTACATTTGCGAAGAAAGATTCGTCCTTGAATCATCTTATTTTCTTGATCAAGGCAGGTCACATCCTTTTTACGCAATGTTTGCTTTCTTATGGCTTTCAGATCATTGCACTATTCAATGAAAATGAACACGATCAAGCGATGCAACGCATCGGGGAGCTAGCTTCTACACCCTGTAACGATCCTATTCCTTCTCGTATCGTAGAAGTAAGTATTGTGCTTTCTGACAGTGCTACTGAGGTTCGGCTGCTGACATGAATTTTCTGCGCTTCGTACATTAGGCGTATCTACATGTCAAACTGGGCAGGACTGCGCTGCGGGATTATAACTCCAATGTCAAATTTCCCATTCAGCTTCAGGAGATAGCTAGTGCTATTGATCACTTAACTACCGCCGTCAACGCTAGCTCTTTCTTTTTTGGATTACCAATTCATACCAAATACGAGGTATTTATCGAGGTGCGTTGATACGATTTAAGTGAAAATCACTTTCGTCCTCAACTCCGTTGTTTGCAGCTCTTCGGGTGGGATCTCAAGTCCTTGTGGGAAACCGCAAATAAGCAACTGTGCCATACACTATTGATGGCCGGCAAACATGGAGAAGCTTTCGAGTTGTTCTATTCCATGATGGACAAGTGTGATGAGTCTACGAAAGACAGCCTACGGGCTTGGTTCACTGGTAAGTATCCAATAATGTCACACACTGCTACCGTCCTTAATCACCCCCACTCAGCACTAAAGTCAATATGAAGCATTCTCTATGTTCCCAGAGCCATGCAACTGTAGTGCTGCTTATTGAGTTCGACGGGGAATGATTCGGACAATGAGAGAATGAGTGAGGGGGAGTTTATTCACTGAAGCTATAGAAAGTAAGGACTGACTATTTGTATGCAAGTGCGCATGTTAATAGAACGAAAATGTTACTTCTCGTCGTCTTCGTCCTCATCGGACAGCCTATTGTCTAATAGATGTCACTGATATGAACTGGTCTTCATTTAGAACGCCATATATTCGTGGCACGAGTATCGAAAAGCACACATACATATTTACCTCTGTCTGACTTCAACCTTAGTGTTCTACCCTCGGGTAGTTTCCAGGCTGGTGATAGTATATTTCACAAAATGCTCACGCTAATTCCGATATACAAAGAACTGTAGGTGAAACGATTGCTTCCTGATGTGCGTCAATAAACGCTACAGATCACTAGTAACTCACGCATCAGCGTCAACGGCCATATTGCACCGATGTGAGAGCAAAAACACGACTCACCATGCAAAAAAAGAAAGCCTGCCATATAGTTTGTAGGTAAGTCAGGTTCTGAATTCCGGGAAAATGCTAATACGCACGCATCCATGATAATTGCATGCTGGAATAACGCATTGTATGTCCGAGTAGCAAGTATGGATACAAAGATGGCCAGCCGTGTCACTGGTTGCAGAGATTGATGATGCTAGGGCAGTAATGATGGCGAAGACAATTGGAGAGGCGAAACGCATCCTTTGTGACTTGTGGATCAGGTAATTTTGAAGGCGATAGTAGGAAGATGGCTGGCTTTTATATTTTGCTCTTGAATGACAGTTGGGTGGATTTATTTCCGAATGGATTGCATGCCAGCATATTGCCAGCAAAGTTCATCGGCAGGTATGGAACCACTGAACATTCGCAATCTGTTGGCTTGGTCACAATCGTAAGTATTCTGCCGTAGGAAGACTGGTCGATTTCGGAGAGTGGTCAATGAAATGACCAGTTTCCTTTTCAGTCGATGCTGATGGATGACTTCCCGCAGTCCTGGGTGCCATTTCGTCGCCGTTTGAAATTCAACATGAAGGATCTGCCCCCCCCAATACCCGCACTGTTCGATACTACCGTTCTTGCACGAGTCCATACTGTCATAAGGATACATCTAATATACTGTAATGACCGAGAAAAATCGGGTACAAAAATGGGGTGAATGACCTTGGTGTTTTCAGCTATCGCAGGGATGTATCTATGAGATCCTCCATTCCGCTTCTCGGTCATGTATCTGATACATCGGTTTCTCACGTGTCACCTGTTACTGTTATCCTACCATATTGATGTATTCCGTTTGGTGGATCATGCTAGCACGGGCACTTCCAGGGTAATGTATCCATCCTTCTCGATGTATCTAGCTGATCTTCATTTGCTCCGTCCCTAGGTCTTACCAATCATGATGTATCTGTGCTTCGGTTGCCGGGAGGATAATGTATCTACTAGCGTGGGCACTTCTGTAATGTATCCATCCTTCTCTCGATGTATCTGGCTGATCTCCCTTTGTTCCATCCCTAGGCCTTACCAATCATGATGTATCTGTGCTTTGGTCGCTGGGAGGACTATGTGTCTACTAGCGCGGGCACTTCCGTAATGTATCCATCCTTCTCTCGATGTATCTGGCTGATCTCCCTTTGCTCCGTCTCTAAGTCTTACCCATTATGATATATCTGTGCTTCGGTCGCCGGGAGGACTATGTATCTACTAGCGCGGGCACTTTCAGGACAATGTTTTCATTGTCATGTTCATTTTCAGATAATCTTAGTACTCATCAATACGAAGCTTTTGAGACCACACACACAATATATTAGAGCGTGAATGTAATTGCAAACTTTCATAGATACATTATTAGTAAGATACTGAAGAGCATGGTACGATTGAAAGGAAGCGAAAGGAACTGTATGTGACGACTTAGGCTTTTTTTGCTTCCTGCATGAAGGTAATGAGTGTAAGGCATGTGAAGGTTTGAGAGCACTGAGTACGACTTACTTCCTGTACACACCGTTAACACCCGAACACCCCCGTTTTTTAGAGCTGGTGTTCTCTGACCCAATCGAGTTAGCAATTTCATTGCACTTGGAAATCTGCCGGACTCGTTTGCTACGACTTTCAATCAGTGGTTGTTTTCTAAGTGAGTCCGAGGAACGAGGACGAACATAGAATGTCGTCTATGCAGCAGATGTCCTTTTTGGGACATCTTTTCTTTGCTCCGTACCACTACGCAAACTCTCAGTACTCGTCGACTCTTAGTCGTCTTACTCGTTCTTTCGCCTCCTTTTCACACAACGATAAACTCTTTTTAAAAAAGTACTCTTAAAAAACATGCCTCGACTATCCAGCGACCCGAATCTGAGTATCTGTCCGGATTACGCTGAAGAAGTTTACGCTGACGCTCGGTTATAACTTACCGATCAGAGCATTGATGAAGACCAAGCCATCATAATACTAAGGAATATATGGCTAACGGGTAACAACGCCGACAAGGCCCAGTGGCAGAACCAAGTAGAAGAAGATGCAGAGCACTGTCAGCACTTAGAACGTCTCCATGAGGAAGAGCGAGAGAGACAGGACCAAGACCACATCGATGAAGATGAAGCTGCACACAAAGAGGATAGGAAGAAAAACAAATTTAAGTACACCTCCATTCCCAGTCTTGACGTTCCTATGAAACCTGTCATTATCCCATCCGCTTACGCCATTTGCAAGCTCGATAAAGGAGGCTATGTCGAATTGTGGTATTTTACCAATGCAGGTCTCGACGATGCGAAACTCAAGTCTTCGGTCGACGAAGATGCGATGGTAATGGCTACTCTAGCAGGAGGAGACACAGCATGGGTCTCAGGTCGACGATCAGAACCTCACCTTTGAAGATTTCTGTCAAGTGTGCCCACACATAATCAAGGCAATGGAAGATGCTTCTTGGCCAGATGATCGTATCACAATGATGGCAAAGTTCTGGCGCAACCTCCAAGTCCATGACTTTCATTCAATGCGCAACCCCTTAGCACAGAAGTCTCTGCTCGTCTACCAAGCAGAACAGCGCAAATGCTGGCATATGGCAGTCAAGACAGCCGCAGGAGCCTATGATTTGTCTCGAATCAATGAGATACTCCTGGAACGCATGAGAAACGACATCTATCTCGAAGAGCGTAAGAAACAGGATAATCAGCACGATTACAAGGTCAGTGCTCGCAACCCGTACTCGATACACTGAACATATGCTAACATTCTCCAATTAATTTTAACATATCTATCGATCTGATCGCATAATTTTCACGCTATGAACTCTCACAACATGCTCCATTTCCTCTGCTACAACATTTCGCATCATGCTACATGCCTCACCCATATGCTACATGCCACACTATGCCACATGCCACAAACTGCCACATGCCACATCCTTCATGCACCAAATCTGACCTATCAGATGGACCAGAGAATTAACTCGAGCACAAGTGCATCCACCAGTCACAACCACAGAAGCAGAGACTACCAGCGTTCAACTCGAGACTCATGTCGACGTTCCGCATCCCCACACCAATCACACCATCGTCACTCACCCTCTCCAGACTCATATAAGTGCTATCGGCAGGATTTTCCAAGCAGCGCAAATGGAACTCCCCTCTCCACTTGCGCAGTCTGCTTGGGAAGGCACACACACAAAATCGTCGAGTGCAAAGCGGCCAAGACATGGGACAATGCTCACAACACTCTCTGCACTCGAGTTGGAAAGATCCTTACCATGCGAGACTCACAACCAGTCTGCAGCGACTGGCAACGAGTCTCCGGTTGCAAAAACACAATGCACAATCTCCAGCATTTCTGCTCAGGATGTACGGCCTCCTCTCACGGAGTGCAAACTTGCCCTCGAGCGCAGAAGGCATAGAGCCCTCACACCCTATGACCCTGACACATGGGAAACTTGCCTTATGCAAGCTGGACTCATTGATAGATATCCTCTTATTCCCAATGGCCTTTGTCGAGGCTTTAATCTTAACTTTCCTGTCATTACAACCACTCAAGCGCCTCCCAACAAAGAATCTATCATTATCTATAAAAATGAATTCCAATCTATTATGAATTCCGAAATCCAAAAACAAAGGTACATTGGCCCATGCATGGCTGCTGAAATCAAAATTTTCATTGATCCATTTCAATCTTCTCCCTTGTCTATTATTCCTAAACCTGGCAAACCAGGGTGCTTTTGCGTCATACAAGATTATTCATTCCCTCACTCAGAAGCTACCACATTCCCTAATCCATCAATTAATTCTTCTATTAATCCAGATGACTTTCCCAGTACCTGGGGAACATTCCACTCTACCGCGCTTCTCATCAGTTGGTTGCCACCCAGATCACAAATCGCAACAAGAGACGTCTCCAAAGCATACTGCACTATTCCCCTTCATCCCTCGCAATGGCCAGGCACCATTGTTTGAATATCTGACTCCACATTCTGCATCGACACTTGTACATGTTTTGGGGTTTCGCCCTTGGCTGGGGTGTATGGACATCTTGCAGATGCAGGACTCGATATTTTCAGATCGCAAGGTATTGGTCCAATGTCACGTTGGGTTGATGACCATCTCTTTTTTTCGCATCTGGAGAGAGTTCCTTGATCAATATAACGAAATGACAGTCGACACTGGCATGTGGAGATCACTGAAAGAGGTCAACATCACGACAGGCGGCAGAGTATGATTTGGAGGCCACATTTTCGATGATGGTATGACAGAACAATTCGATGAAGATTGTCGATTCTCAATTCTCAGATCTATCAAACAGCTCACCATGGTCAGCGGAAGACAAACTATTCACTTTTAACTTTAACGACATCAACAGATCCTCTACTACTACACCACATGCCATGGGAAGCTCAGAAAGACACTAACTTTGCATATTGCAACCCATACATCGGCCTCACATGGGACCTTGCATGGAATCTGGTCTATCTCTCAGACTGAGAAAAAAGTGAAGTATAGTAGAGCAGTGCGAGAATGGCAGGATCAGTACTGTACATGTTCTTCTTGATGTACAAAAACTTCATGGCAAGCTTCTCAATGTGTCTTTGGTTCATCCTCGAGGCTGTGCGTATCTCACGAGCCTCGAGATTATGCTGTGGGTTTGTCATAAGCATCCTTTCTTACCTCATCGGCCAGTTAAAGGCCTCGCAGAAGACATGCTTTGGTGGGCAGACATCTTACAGATTACCTTGGCCACACCATTCCCAAGCCTCTCACCTTGCACAACCCAGCAGCATTCTCAGATGCGAGCTCAGGCGTTGGAATCACAATCATCATTGGAGACAAATGGAGGGCGTGGAAGCTGTATCCTGGGTGGGCCACCCTCAAAGGACAGAAGGACATCAGCTGGGCCGAAGCAATCAGTTTCGAGCTTCTTGTTCGATACATTGTTGCCTTGGATAAACCGGAATGACACTTCCGAGTCTATGGTGACAATCAGGGAGTCATTGAGGGATGGAAAAATGGGCGCAGCCGCAACACAGCTGTCAATCAAGTATCCTGCCGAATATTTGAATTCTTACACGGCCTCTCATCTACACACTCTTTCCACCCAACATATGTCACCAGTAGTGCCAACCCAGCCAATCCCCCCTCACGAGGGATTTACGCTGATGAAGGATCTCTCCTCACCCTCCTCCCCATTCCCCATCCACTCTGCCAATTCATCTATGATCCCTTTGATCCATCCACCCAATCCTGAACCACCCAAACGATCCTGCTCTCTGCCGTCTTCAGCGCACCTGCTATCCACCATATCTGCTGCATCCTTAATTCAAACGCAATGAGACGTCACTCCCTCAATGAAGACTCCACAACAGAAGCAAAGAGAGCCCACCCATTTTGCAGCGCCATTAGTACCCATCAATACACTTGATAAACCCCTTCCTTACAAGCCAGGACTGATTCCAATCACTTCCCCACTGTCTAGCGCGAGATCAGCTCAAACTCTGGTACGCAGTACACAGCTGATCTGTACGGAATGCAGACGGAAAAATCCTTGCTATTACAGATGAAGACCTTCAACGGGTACTTACGGTAATGAACACTTCTTGGGCCCAAGAAACCAAGGAATCATATGGAGCAGGCTTACTTGTTTTCCACGTCTTCTGCAATACTCGAAGCATCCCAGAACTCCAGAGGTGTCCAGTGGACAATATCACCATTCTTACCTTCATAGCAAGCTGCACTGGCTCATACACTGGAAAAACACTCGCCAATTACGTATATGCAGTGCACGCCTGGCACATCCTTCATGGACAAACCTGGAACATGCAACAACACGAGTTAAAGACAGGTGCTTGACGGAGCAGCCAAACAAGCCCCAGTTCATTCCAAGTGCGCAAAGAGAGAACCGTTCACCATTGTGTCCATCCTTCAGATTCGGGATCATCTGCAACTAGATGCACCTCTTGATGCAGCCATTTTTGCGTGCCTGACAGGCACCTTTTACTCACTAGCGCGGCTTGGAGAGTTTACTATACAATCCATCAAGGCCTTCAATGAAGGTATTCTGCTCATCAAACAAGCGGACGTTCAGCTGGATTGTCAGGACTGTCATGACTTCCGAGTCTCTAAGATTTGCATTCCCCACATGAAAATGTCGGTCAACAGAGAAGATGTATACTGGGCGAGTCAAGCAGACACAACTGACCCCATGCAAGCTTTACTCAAGCACTTCGAAATCAATGATACGGCACCCAATGATCACATATTCACATGGAAGCACCCCAAGGGCATGAGCCCATTGACACGAGGAGCCTTTCTTCAAAGAATTAGCAGCATCGCCAAGAACGGTGGCTGCCCAGACCTCAAAGGTCACGGCATCTGCATAGGAGGAACACTGGAGTATTTACTTTGAGGTGTTCCATTTGACGTCATAAAATCTATGGGAAGGTGGTCAAGTGAAGCCTTTACCATATACTTGTGCAATCATGTGGTCATAATGGCACCTTACCTGCAAGATACTCCAACCATTGAACCCTTTACCCATTATACCATGGCAAAGGTTTGCTAATCCAAGGTACATTTTGCCCTGCTCCTTATAAATGAGAGTCCAACCTTTGCCTGATGCATCACTGGGCTCCTTAAGTGTTTGGGTATCATGGCTCACCTCGACCTCTTAGATTCGGAGTGTTGTTTCTGGCTGGAACCCCCTTCGGGGCTTTGCCCAAATACTCACATGCCTATCTCCCTCTCGGTGTCCCTAGTCAGATGATAGTATTTGTCCTGCAATACATTTGACTCTTCTTCTTCGTCCACAAAAGAAAATCCAATACATAGACATGGTCACTATGCCAGACGGTGTGGCCTCTGCAGAGGTAGACTGAGATGGTGCAGCCTCTGTGGAGGTAGACTTGCCAGATGGTGCGGCCTCTGCAGAGGTAAACTTGGAGGGTACAACCTCTGCGGAGGTAGACTTTGAGAGAGGTGGCAGATGGGGATCAGCAAGACTGTCCTTGATAGCATGATTTGCCAGTGTGGTGACCTCAGGTGTAAGTGGCTTTGGCGTGGGAGGGGCAGAAGGTAGGGTGGGTCTAGGCAAAGGACCCTGTCATGCTGTGATGGCATGATTTGCCGGTTGGTAGAAGGTAGGGTAGGCCCAGGCGAAGGTGAAGGACCCTGTTGTGCTGTGATGGCATGATTTGCCGGTGTGGTGACCTCAGATGTAGATGGCTTTGATGTAGGAGGTTGAGTGGGCATATGTGTGGGATATGATGGTGATTGCAAAGTTGGCGGAGCCACATATGTTCTCAAGAGCTCATGGTATCCTTCCACGGACAGCATTGAAGAGACACCATCAGGGCCCAAGTCCACTGGAGAAGCAGAAATTGGATGTGAAGGATATGAAGGGAACACCTTTCAAGTGAGGTCCTCATTGTCATCAAGAAAGGATATGAGCGATTCAGATATATGAGGAAATAAATTTGAGGATGACGCCATTGTTGAAGTATCGCGTGGGATATTCCCAAAGGCACCATCAGACGGATCAGGTGTCTGTGATGCATGTACATCAGGCTCTAGTGTTGGTTGTCGACTCACACCCCAAACACTTCCTTCTTCCTTCACTGCTGTGACCACTATCAAGCCCCAAGTCAGACACATTCCAAGTTTCGGTTTTACAGACTTACGAAACACATGCTTAACGAACTCTTTCCATGGCCGCATGATCCCCGAGTTAAACTCAGGATACACGAGGTTGAACTGATTCCCAATTTCAGTTGCACCAACATGAAAGCTCTGGACATCGACCTGCCCACCCATTGCTGGTGTTGGGCCACCCATAAGAACCGTGAAAATGAGACCAGTGAGTCTCTGAAGTTTATTGAAGAACTTGGTGAGGACACCAGGTAGTCTATCGATATATCTGTAGATGTGAGTTACAGGTGAGCACTTGTATTCATTCAGATATGTAGATGCAACTGACACTTGATGGTCGGCTACCCCTGCGCCCTTCGCCTCTTCCCACTCTTTCTTCTTCTTTTTCTTGGCTTCCTCAATGAACTCCGCTACTTGTTGTTTGACCTCATCAGACGCTAAGTGATACAGTAGGTTGGTTTGCTTCTTGATAATGGCTATACTTGATGGCATCTTGACCTTTGTATTCTCAGCTGCAGCCTTTTCCACAGCTTCGGCCTTTGCTGTCTCAAAGGCGATATCAAGAGTGGGTTTGATCATGTCCTCGAAGAAAAGCTTCGAGAACACCTTGGTCACCTGCGGACCATGAACATGCCTAGTCCTCATCATCTCAGCAACCATACTCTTTTGACCGGTTACAGCCGATGTGCTTGCTGCGGCCATCATTTTATTGTTGTGGTTCTTGGTCTGACGGTTGACTTTAGATGAGCCCATATCATTTTTGAATTTATTCATAATTTGCTGACAAGTCAACATTCTCATAAGCCCTTGCTTTTGACTTAGGAATCACGGCAACATACCTGTCGATGGTGCTCGACGGCCTTGCCTACCTCGGTCTTTTGCTTGATGGTCAATTCAACATCAAGAGGGACATCCTGAAAGACACGAAGCCGTTCTGGGAATGTCAAAAACCATTCCTCAAACACTGGCTCCCAAAATCCAGTATAGTTGTGCTTTGCTTGACACGCTTGGTATTTGGCAGCATGCAACTAAAAGAATTTCTCTTCCTCAGCGGTAGCCCACTTTCGCGGTGCCATCTAATATTCAAGGTGAGTGACAGAATTATTCGGATATTTTGTTAACACACACTTTTAGTCCAAGATGTCGTATCTTGTGCGTTGATGGGGAAGCAAAATGAAAAAAAGAATGAAGTTTATTTGGCTAGGAAGTGGGTGTTAGTGATGTGCGTAGTGCACGGACCATCGAAGCCCGATGATTTATATTTGTTGCAAGATTTAGGTGCTCAATTTCCTATCTATGTATACCGTGTACATACTACAGCGCCAGGACCTATATATTGTTGCTTATATTGATTGTCATACTGCTCAGTACAGCTTTGGTGAACGCAAGAAGTCCGTTCTCTGTGATTATTGCCTTCTCACAATAAACTAAATAATCAAAGGACAATTTGTACAGTTGGAAGTCTGTAGGTGTAAGTCTGTGGGTTGGTGGCGGCTTGTAACTCTATATGAGTTTTGGTCCGACTGCATTGAGTTCTATCAGTATAGCTTGAGTTTCATCAGTACAATGTGAGAAGTCTGAGTCCATGTTCATGCAAGTATATCTCACATAAAATATGTCCTCAATTCAACATGAATGCTTAGCTGCATTGCAATTGAGTGGCTTGTAACTCTATGTGAGTTTTGGTCTGACTGCATCGAGTTCTATTAGTACAGCTTGAGTTCTATCAGTCTTTGGTGAATGTGAATCAGTACAGCTCGAGTTTTATCAGTACAGCTTTGGTGAATGTGAGAAGTCCATGTTCACGGTGTAAGTATATCTCACATAAACTATGACCACTGTATGACCCTCAATTCAACTTGAATGCTTAGGTGCGTTGCGATCGAGTGGCTTGTAACTTTATGTGAGTTTGGGTCTGACTGCATCGAGTTCTATTAGTATAGCTAGAGTTCTATCAGTACAGCTTTTGTGAATGCGAGAAGTCCATGTTCACATATTACGACCCTTGAAAGTTGAATGCTTAGCTGCATTGCAAGATGGTAGATCAGTTAGTATTGGTATTGCTAACTAACTATAATCATTGTTTTGGTCCAACTACCAATGGTTTGTACCTATGATACACAAGAAGCTATGGTGCTCACTGCTTCTTTTCAAGCCTTTCAACCAACCACCACCACACTGCTACATCTCTGCAGCTAAAATCATACCACATCCTCCTATTCATAAAACACTTGAGGAAAAACTGCAAGCAGGTCGTGAAAAACAATGACACCATTATGCCAAGTAAGTGTCACTGTTTTTATTAATTGTCTCTGGTGGTTCCTGACCGGTTAACCAATTGAAGAAACAGAGACAGGATTCTAAGCCTGGCGGAGGGAGCTTTGCGTTGAAAAGAACACGGGGCCATCAGAGCTTGAGAAAGCTATTGAAAGAGCTCTGCACTGGCTATGACTTGGATGAAGATGGTGATGAGTCAGAGACAGGCAGTTCCAGCGACATTGAGGAGAATAATGACCCACTGTACATTGTTTTATAAATAGAAAATGAAATGAACATAAAATTAACATTCCACAGATCGGATCTTACAGCATGTCTACTCATGCTCAAAGAGAAATGCTGTCTTTGATTACTGAACCTCGTGCATTTGCTGAGGGCGCCTTGCTTCAATATGTCAACAGCATCGTGTATACAGATGACCGTGCCAATAATGGTGATTGAACCATCATTACAAGTATGATAGTCACGGTCCAAGGCTTGCTCAACCACTCCATCCCTGTTCAAGATGAAATCCTCAATTACTGTGGTGTCTTGGCCAAGTTTCGTGCTGCTGACACGGTCACTCGTTACCTCAGTACCACCCTTGCATACTTGGAGGATATTGACTTTTTCATCAACGTGGAGGGAGCTTCTGAGCTGTGTGTTGCTCACTCAATGGGCGAGTTGATGTACCAGAAGAATGAAGCATAGATGTCCATCCAAAAGACCTTGACTGAGTCAGTACACGGAGCACTCGCATGATGGCAACACGGAGTATCTTCGACATTGATCTTTTGGTGTTGGTGACAGAGGTTCTCTATCCTCGCAAACAACATTCGTGGTATCTCAACTTGGCGCCGTGCAATCAAGTTCTGAACCATTATTTGATGCCTGGGAGGAGACACTGCCAAGTGAGCCTGATGACCCGTACTTTGAGACTGTGGACTCAATGCAAGAAACTACCATGAAAAAAAGAATACTAGCATGTATACTCAAATTCCTTTGTTATCGAGCTAATGTTTGACAGAATGTTCCTTTACTTCAGTGGATACCAGAATGGTCCTCATACCTAGATGAGATGATCCGTCTAGAGGGCCGTGGTGATGAAATTGCTTGGGAGACATGCAGTTGCAAGGGTGAAGAACCTTTACTTTACCGCTGCCGGGATTGCTTTGGAGCAGAAATGGTGTGCCGTGCATGTGTTCTTCAATGGCATGCACATAATCCACTCCATAGAGTTGAGGTACGTTCATCAAACATTAATTTGAGCCACTGGACTTGGCAACTCACTTGCCCTTAAGAGTGGCGTGGCACATTTTTCGTGCAAACCTCTTTGAAGCTGCTCGGCTTGCGCATCCAACTGAGTCACAATCCGGGAGAGAAGTGTTATAATCCTGAACCTGCCGCTGGCGATGATTTCGTTGTTGTAGACATCCACGGTATCTATGAAATTGGCCTCAACTTTTGCAGCTGTGAAACGGCCCAAATCCATTACAAGCAACTTATTCGTGCTCGATGGTTTCCAGCTACTGCAATAAATCCTCAAACTGCCACCACATTCGCACTCATGGAGTTCTTCGACCTCCTCGCATTTGAATCAAAGGTCTCCGCATATGAATTATATCACAGTATTGCTAGATGGACAGATAACACCATCACCACACCAATTAGGGTATGTCTGCATTAACATTGGCTGATTTTCTGCTCACCACTATTTCAGGATCATTATTCAGCATTTATGTGAATGGTTTGTAAATGGCGCAACCTCAAGGTGCTCAAACGAGCAGGAAGAGGTCACAATCCCAGCGGTGTGGATGCAACTTCTGCTGGTGAATGCGCTGTACTCTGTCCAGCATGCCCTCACCCTGGAAAAAATTTACCCATGGGCTGGGAACATGCATCACACAATACCAGGTATGTTCGGATGCACAGTTATTGCTGGGTGTTCGCCAATAATATTCATTAGATGGAAGTACGCTCTTTTCCTGGCCATTGATGCCAATTTTTGGCTTAAGCGGAAGTTTGTCTCAAGCGACAATGTTGATCCAAGTCTCAATGCCGGCTCATGCTACTTTGTTGAAGAGACTGCATACAAACAATATCTGAGCGAACGTGGTTGTGAGCCACAGGAGGTAAGTAATATTTCATTGTTGCACGCACTTAGGCTTAGTATGTTCTATTCTTTCAGAAAAGCACATGTGTCAGTCACAACGCCGTGAACATGGCTGACACAAAGTCATCAAGGGGTCTTGCAACCATGGGCATTGGGACCGTGGACTGTGCAAGGCATGATATGAAACTTCCTAATGGAGTTGGTGATTTGCAGAAAGGTGAAAAGTGTGTTTTTTTGATTGTTTCTCGAGCCTCGTGAAGCTAAGCCTAGCACTAGATATCTAAACATGGACTATCTGGTCTTTTCAGTGATGGTCAGTTTTGCCGTCATTGTATTCAATCTATCATACAACATCGCCTGCCAATGGCATAAAAAACTATGGCCTCACATGGCATCAATGCCACCCTGACTGCATCTTAACCGCGAAAACAAGATCATTTGTTTTTTTGTTCCGAAATTTCATCTTAACGCTCACATCCAATCATGTCAAATAGCATTCTCATTCAACTTTGGGAAGAATGTTGGATGTACAGACGGAGAAGCACCTGAGAGAGGGTGGGCAAACATTAATCATGTGGCATCAAACACCAAAGAAATGGGGCCAGGAGCACGCTGTGATACTTTGGATGACCATTTTTCGGACTGGAATTGGAAAAAAGTCACCATGCTCGGTAGGTTTCTGACTGGACTGTTTCATTCTCAATCTCACGTATTTCCAGGTCAAAGCATGCTCCACAAAGTCAAAGAAGCCTCAAGGAGAGCTAAGCTTCATCAAGAAGAACTCAACGAACTTCAACAATCGATTCCAGCATCATCGCTCTCTGTGTGGAAGTCGGAAATTGAGGCATGGGAGGAGGACAACACACAGCCCAACCCGTTCGAGAGCAGGGTAATTCGTAAGTTATTTTCTCTGCTCATTTTTTCAAAACTGACATTTGACAGCTATGACTCAAGCTGCTATATGCCGCCAGCTGGCCGAGAAGGAGGCTGCAGACTTACAAGCTGGCATAGATGTCTCATTACATGCCAATATTTCTCCAAGTGTCCTCATCGCATCAGGCATTGACCTACAGGATCAGCAGTAAGTATTGCAATATAATTGGAACCTCTTCTAACGAAAAATATTACAGACAGTGTTTGGCTGCGGACATTTCTTCACTGGGTCAGCATGCAACCGACACACAGAAGACCAAGATACTCAATTAAAGCAATGCTCTACAATGTCGATTGGACAATTGGGCTCAAATCCAAGTCCTTTACATGCCCACAGTTGTGCCAATCCAGGCCACGGAGGATGTTACAAGAACATCTAGATGCTTGGGCCCCTACCATTTTTCTCCTTATCCTCCTTGTCTCCGCCCTTGCATCACACCCTTACCCTGACCTTGCTCTTGTTATCCTTGTCATCCTTGCATTCCCCTTCACCCTCTACCTGTCGCTTCAGCAGAGCCAGTACATCTGGCCGGACCCTTTCTCTGATGAAGCATACCCATGCTCTGTTCCACCTGTCGACTGATCCTGTGGACAGTCCCCTTTGCCCTTACCGTCCAGACGGTAACCTATGATATGATGCACGCTGCATCCCCTTTACCCTGTTTCCTTTCTTGATCTATGACTCGGTGCGCAGTCGCACATTTGTACTTATATTTAGCTCTGCAGCTGCACAGTCGTGCCCCTGCTTGTTTCTGTTCTTTGACTCATTTCCTATCTGCACGTTCCGGTTCGCCTATGACTCACCTCGAACGTGCCTTCCTTTTCTAGTATCACCCTTTGACCAGTTCCCTTTCTGGTAGTACAAGTTATCATCCACTAATACACATCCTCTCCTCTATATAAACTCGCTACCATGTATCTAGTTCCCTAACTTGAATCTACTTGGTTCTTGACCTCCTACTCCTAACAAGAGTGATTCCTTCTGCCTAGCCAGCAGTCTATATTCTACTTTCTTATCTGCTCATTGCGGATGGCAGATACACTTATCATTGAGCCCCACTTGACATAAGTTACCTGATTTGAACATAGGTGTTAAATCTTACTTGCTGAAGCTTCACCAAGTAAGACCCCTAACCTTGGGCTAGCCCAAGGACGTCCTCGACCATTGACGACACACGCTCTGTTTGAGCGTCGCCAACAGATACTATCCAAGTCGTAACAGAGGATGCTTGTCGTTCTGAAAGCACCACAACACTCAAGCCAGAGAAATTTCAGCTCTGGTTACCATCCCAGCTCGACCTGCACCTTCCTTGCGACCCAAAACTTTGTGAATGTGAATGGGAACTCCAGTATGCACAGGCCCATGATGCATTGAACAATGTTCGACAGCACATTCGCCTATTGTTACAACTTGGATGGTATCTGTTGGCGAAGCTCAAACAGAGCGTGTGTTGTCAACGGTCGAGGACGTCCTTGGGCTAGCCCAAGGTTAGGGGTCTTACTTGGCGAGGCTTCGGCAAGTAAGATTTGACGCCTATGTCCGAATCGGGTAGCTTACATCAAGCGGATGCTAGACGATGAGCTGTACCTGCCAAGGCTTACGACACCCGAAGGTTAATCGTAAGATCGTCGTTAATTAGAAGGACGGAAGTCCGACTAGTTAACAGGGGCTTTGCTCGTCGATGAAGTCAATGAGTAAAGATCGAGACTATAGGCTTATCCGCGAAGAGCAGATAAGAAGATAGAATATAGACTTCTGGCTAGGCAGAAAGGATCACTCTGGTGAGAGTAGGAGGTCAAGAACCAAGTAGATTCAAGTTAGGGAATATGGTACATGGTAGCGAGTTTATATAGAGGACAGGAGGACGTATTAGTGGGTGATAACTCGTACTACCAAGTGAAGTAACTGATAAAGGGCATAACCATAAAAGGAAGGCACGTTCGGGGTGAGACACGAGTGAACCAGAACGTGCTTGATAAGAAAGTGAGTCAAAGGTCAAAACAAGAAGTGAAACGCGCAGGGGCACGATCGTGCAACTGCGGATCTAAGTATAAGTAACATGTGCGACTGCGCACTGAGTCAGGGATCGAGAAAGGGAAAAGGGGCAAAGGGGATGCGTCGTGCATCATATCATAGGTTACTGTCCAGACTGGTAAAGGCAAGGGGACTGTCCACAGGATCAGTCAGGTGGTGGAACGGAGCATGGGTATGCTTCGTCAGCAAAAGGATCCAGGCCAGATGTACTGGCTCTGCTGAAGCGACAGGTAGAGGGCAAAAGGGAATGCAAGGATGACAAGGATAACGAGGGTGAGGTCAGGGTAAGGGTATGATGCGAGGGCTGATACGAGGAGGATGAGGAGAAAAATGGTAGGGGCCCAAGCGTCTAGATGTTCTTGTAACACCTATTCACCCACCTCAACATGTTCAGGATGGCAAATGTACAGGGCCAATGTGCCTCCACTCGTGCATGCACCACTCTTGATCTTGTGGCTGAGAAGAAGCATGCAAGCAAGGTTAAATACAATGCTGCCTGGGATGCACTTACTGCCCTTGCTCCCTTGCTCCCTCGCTCGCAAAAGTTGGCTGGAGCGATATCTTGTGCCCGCTTGGAGGGACTGATATGAGACCCATGGGTGACTTCATCCAAGGACAATCTGAAGGTACTTGTGATATACCGTGGATATGGAAGATGTCTGGAGCGCTGCAAGACAATGATGAGGGACTTCAAGATTGTACATATCACAATTTTTTTGGTGCAGTGAAGCTGATGGATGGCTGGCAGGTCTTCGCATTGAGTGGTGCAAGGCTAGAGCGCAGGAGGCATGTTGGTCTGAAGAAGTGCTGCTGTTGCTTGAAGAGATGCGGAGGGTACTGACATTCTTAACTTGGCAGGGTACATGGTGGTCTGGGCTGGCTTCGGCTCAGCATTTCGAGAGATTGGCTGACAGCGAAGGGTCCAGGGCATATGCAAACTGACAATCCGTGCTCCGTGAAGCTATGGTAGAAAAGTTCAGGCAATGCTGGGCCATTGTCCCTGCTGTTGTAGCTGCTGAGCTGGATGATGATGGCATGCTGGACATGTGTGAATCTAGACAGTATCAGTCTCCTCAGTCAGATGTAACGGACTAGGATTAGCAAGTACCTAGACTAGTGATGGAAAAGTCCGTTCGGTCCAAAAATGGTCTGGTTCTGGTTCAGTGAGGGTTCGAACCAAGAACCGGACCATCCAAACTATATATAAAAATTTCGTCAAGAAAAATTATATTGAAACACGCCCAACAACAGATGCATCATGTAATACTAAATGCTACTTTCACTCACTTAGTACTCATGCTCAGCACTTGCACTCTCCTGGCTTGCATTGGCACCTGCTCGTCAGGTACCCCATGGTTTTTTCGATGGAGTCTCACCAGCTTACATGCGTCATCGCTATCACTTAAATTTCATTTTCTTGATCTCTTTGTTCTCAGTCCTCTGCACAAGGCCATTCCCACTCCTCAGAACCGCAAAGAAGCACACTTCTCAGGCATTTATTCCACTGCCACCACAGCTCATCCAGTGCCCATGATACAGTTACTGGTGATTCTACCCTCGTTTATGCTGATGCATTCCGAACTGTTCTTTTTGCATTATGTACGACATGGATACCAAATGTTTCGTCATCTCTGCCTATAAGTACTACACTTAAACTACATACTGACTTGCCATTGGTTTGAACAGGTTCGAACCTGTTCAGAACCAGTTCTGCAATTCTGCACGTCCCCGAACCGCGGACCGGACCAACGGTTCGGTCCTCCCTATTGCCTGAACCTTGAACCGGACTTCGGTCAGGTTCGAAACGGTTCAGGTTCGAACCGCGGTTCAGAACCGGACCTGGCCATCACTAACCTAGACAGTATCAGTCTCTATAAGTGATACGTGAGTAATCTAGGTACAGCGTGATGATAATAAGTGACTTACCCTCAGTCAGATGTAACGGACTGAGGGAAGGGGGGAATGATGACTGGTATATATATACGTCATCCGTGTTCGTATCGCTCACGTGCACATCATGTGCGCTAACAACATGGCTGATACCGATTGCACGCTCACCATTGAAGGCCCTCCACCATTAGCTGCAGAAGATTAGTAATTCTGTACTCGTTATGATGTATCGGATCTCTGGAATGTGATGTATCAGTTCTCTTCAGTGTGACGTGTTCTCTTGTATCAGGCTTGAGTGTGATGTATCAGCTCTCTTGAATGTGATGTATCAGTTCTCTTGAGTGTGATGTGTTCTCTTGTATCAGGCTCGAGTGTGATGTATCAGCTACCAGGTAGGAAATGATACATCTGACGCTATAAGTCAGTGCGCTATGAGTGAGCGCATTTTTGTACCCGATTTTTCGCGGTGCTACAAGAATTGATACATCTATACTACAGCTACTGGTGCATACATACAATTTTCTTGTTTTCACAGGCCATCAGGAAAATCACAGATGTCTTAATTGGACTTTTTTGACTTTAAGAAAAATAAGAGCAAGAGCGTCACAAGACGCGCCAAGGCCACGCCTCGTCTTGTAGCGACTTAAACACAATTGAATCTACTCATCACACACAATTTAAGGCCGATAAATTCCATTGCGAGTCGCTGTAAAATGTGTCATAGAATCACTAAAAAGCGCGCGAAAGAGTGATCAAGTCAAAAAATGAGCGAGACACACAAAGCACTAAGAGCATTAAAGGGCAGCTAATGAGTGCTGAGAGATGACAAAAGACCAGAAAACCAGAAAACCGGGATAAAATGCATTAGTGAGGAGCAAAGAAATGGTTCCAAATGGTGAAAAGTGCAGGCGTCGTCTTCATCTATCAGACAGCCTATTGTTAATGGCTAGTAGGATATGCTTTGGAGTTCAGGTACGTACTTAGTTTGTCGGCTGCAAGTCTATCGCAGTCGCACTTTGTCACGAAAGAGCTTGACTTCTTCATTTAGAACGCCATAGTAGTATCTTCGTGGCACGAGTTTCGAAAAGCGCGGATACATGTTTACTTCTGTCTGTTGAATTCCAATATACAAAGGACTGTAGGTGAACCGATTGTTTCCTGATGTGCTTCGATAAACGCTACAGATCACTAGTAGCTCACGCATCAGCGTCAACGGCCATACTGCACCGATGTGAGACCAAAAACACGACTCACTATGCATAAAAAAAACCACTGCCATATATGTAGATAAGTCATGTTCTCAATTCCGGGAAAATGCTAATACGCACGCATCTATCATAAGCGCAATTTGGATTAGAGCATTGATCGTCCAAGTAGCAACCACGGACACAAAGATCGCCAGCCGTGTCGCTAGTTGCAGAGATTGATGATGCTAGGGCAGTAATGACGGCGAAGACAATTGGAGAGGCGAAACGCATCCTTTGACTCGTGTGATATAGGATCAGGTAATTTTGAAGGCGATCATGATAGTAGGAAGATGGCTGGCTTTTATATTTTTCTCTTGAATCAAAGTTTCGTGGATCTACCTCCGAATGGATGGATAGTATATGATGCCAGCATATTGCCAGCAAAGATCATCGGCAGGTATGGAACCATTGACCATTCGCATTTCCAATCGTAAGTATTCTGCCGTAGGAAGACTGGTCGATTTCGGTGAGTGGTCAATGCAATGACCAGTTTAAGTTGACTGTCGATGTGTGACCAGCAGTTTGCAAGCATTAAGCCAATGTCTTTCCAATAGCAAAAAACACGCATGTAAGTGACAGTATGGTTGGTTTTGATAAGTGTTCCTGACGTGTGATATAGATATACCCCTTTTGTCATGCTCTCTTTGAAGTATATAATCCGTCAGATTTCGTTGGACATTGAGCAAGCGATGTGACTACAGTAATCGCGGAATCGGCCGTCAGATGCCGCATACCCAAATAGGAACCTCCGACAAGCTCCGCTCGAAATTTGACGGAAATCATGAAACTTGAGCTTGAGTTGTGAAAAAGTGTTCTGATAGACTTACTGTATCACTCTACCATAGCCCATTTGTAATGTTTTGAAGACGAAATTTGTCTTTCCGAAGGTGTAGATAGAATTACAAATTTTGATGTCGGTATAGTTGCCGCTTTTGAGTGACTCTCAGGAAAAACGTCTAACTCCTCCAAATCGTTAACCTTTTGTCCGTTGTACTGCGTTTGCTTTCTAGAAGTTTCAAAATTTCAAGGCTCACTCGTGACAATCTGTTCGGTGCCCACCCGTCCATCTCAGCTCACCTTGAAACCTCTCAGGTTCGCGCTTTTCGCATAGATTAGCTCAAGTCAAAGTTTCCTGTATCTAGACAACCTCCTAGTCACCTTTTCTTCTCCCACAAACACTTAGCGTCGAAAGGCATAGAACTGTAGGTGAACCGATTGTTTCCTGATGTGCGTCGATAAACGCTATAGATCACTAGTAACTCACGCATCAGCGTCAACGGCCATACTGCACCGATGTGAGACCAAAACACGACTCGCTATGCAAAAAACAAACCACTGCCATATATTCAGATAAGTCACGTTCTCAATTCCGGGAAAATGCTAATACGCACGCATCTAGTTAACCAGCAGTCTGGATCAATGCAATCAATGTCCTTGAAGCAAGTACGGATACAAGTATCGCCAGCCGTGTCGCTGGTTGCAGAGATTGATGATGCTAGGGTAGTAATGACGGCGAAGACGATTGGAGAGGGGAAACGCATCCTTTGTGACTCGTGTGATATAGGATCGGGTAAGTTTGAAGGCGATAGTAGGAAGACGGCTTACTTTTATATTTTGCTCTTGAATCAGAGTTGCGTGGATTTACCTCTGAATGGATGCCAACACACATCAGGGAAACGTAATTTGCTACGAAGCACTCGGTAGCACCCTGTAACACTCTGTAGCGCGATACTTCTCGCTGATGCATATGTGGTGCGCCAACAAAGTTCATCGGCAGGACCATTCGCATTTTCAACCAGCTGTTAGGGTCACAATCATAAGTATTCTGCCAACGTCATGTTGTAATTTCTGCCGTAGGAAGACTGGTCGTAAATTATGACTTTATGGAAATTTGCTTTGAGAGGGTTTTCCTGATGGTCATTTTCTTCGATAGAGATATCTCTCGGCCTTTGTACTACTCTGTTATCTGATCTGTCCGACTTATTTTTCGGTAATTTTTCTTGCTTTCCCATCACTTTTCTCCACTTTCTATCGTTTTCAACAATGTCCTACTCACATGTTCAAGGCTTTTGCATGACCTCGTACTTTGATTGACTTAATCTTTCTTTCACTACGCATTTTTGTCCATTTTATAGACCGCGCGGTGCTTTATAAGACGCTACTTTCATCCCTCACAAGTTGTGAAAAATGAGTGAATAATAGTACTAAAAAGTGAAGAGATAGAGCACGAGTGGCCTTTTGAAAACTTTCTACCAGTGCTCTGAATTGTAAGGAATGTCATTCTGCTAGCCACAGACACCAGCTATATGGAATTCCCTTTGTACCGGTTTGAAGTACTACTTATGGAACTCCTTTTGTGCTCACTTACATACAAATAGTTGGTCCCTACTTTCTATAGCTCCAGTGAATAAACTCCCCCTCACTCATTATCTCTCAGTCCGAATCATTCCCCGTTGAACTCAATCAAGCAGCCTTACAGAATTACTACTTAATTCGTCTTTTAGCTCGAGTAAGTGAACATTAAGGGACGCTAAGAGACCCGATGTTTTCCTGATGCGATTGTTTCCTGATGTGCGTCGATAAACGATACAGATCACTAGTAACTCACGCATCAGTGTCAACGACCATACTGCATCTAGTATGTGAGAGCAAAAACACGACTCACCATGCATACAAAAAACCACTGCCATATATGTAAAATAAGTCATGTTTTCAATTCCGGGAAAATGCAAATACGCACGCAAAAGCTATAAGCGCAGTGTGGATTACTGCATTGATTGTCCAAGTAGCAAAACCGGATACATTCGTCAGCCGTTTCGCTGGTTGCGGGCGTGGCAGAGATTGATGATGCTAGGGCAGTAATGACGGCGAAGACAATGATTGGAGAGGCGAAACGCATCCTTTGTGACTCGTGTGATATAGGATCAGGTAATTTTGAAGGACAGTACTAGGAAAAGGGCTGGCCGCTGGCTTGTATATTTTGCTCTTGAATCACTGCAGTTGCTTGGATTTACCTCTGAATGAATGCCAGCACATAGTACTATGTGATGCTAGTTCATTGCCAGCAAAGTTCATTGGCAGGTACTATGGAACGACTGACCATTCGGATTTCCAACCAGCCGTTGGCTTGGTCACAATGGTAAGTATTCTGCGGCCTACGTGCGAATCTTGATATGAGTCATGATTTCTGCCGTAGGAAGACTAGGGTCAATATAATTTCGGAATGTGGTCAACTTGAATGCAATGACCAGTTGTCCTTTTCAAGTCGACTGTCGATGTGTGTGGCCAGCTGTTTGCAAGCATCAAGCCAATGTCTTTCCAATAGCGAAAAATACGCATAAGTCACGCCACATGGTTGGTGGACCCAGAACCATGAAACTTATATTACATAATCTTATGAACTTTGTTAATAGAACGTTCTCGTCGTCGTCGTCGTCCTCGTCAGAAAGTCCGTGTTTTAATAGATGTCAACTGGCTACAGCTTGCGGAAGTAACGGCATTCATATGTCTCGCAAAAATAAATAAACAGAACAAGTTCAAGAAACTATTCGTCGCCAGCGAGAACAGCTTCTCCACGAGACACCGCGAGAGCTTCGGGCTAGCCTTTCACTCTGTCGGAGATGTTTTACGAGCATCATAATGGTCACGTGTTATAATGTACCTTTAAATTATTTTGACCTGATTTCGATCTCATTACGATGCCTTCATAATGGTCACATGTTACAATGTACCTTGGAATTATTTTGACCTGATTTCGAGCTCATTACGATGCCCGTAGGCGGAGTTTCAATGACATTCTGATGCAACTGATGCTCATCAATTATGCCTTTAAAAATAGACCATCACCATCAACTCGCTCCTTACTCGTCTTCTACTCGTCTTCTATCGTCATCAAAATGCACCGATGCCTAAGTCAAAACAACGCACATCAGACCTCGTGACATGCGATCGATGTGGAGCAGTTGTTTGCGCACGGGGATTAGTATCCCGTACGAAGTCTTGCGCAAAGAAAGAACAGGAGCGGCTAGAAGACGAGGAGTTCATTGATATAGTTTGGAAAGCTGAAAAGAAAGGTCAGTGGTCAATTCACTCATCTGATGCGCTTGATATTTTATAGTTGATAATTGTTTTACAGAACTTAGAAGGCAGCGTCGTAAAGTGCGCAATAACTTACAACATTTTGAGAACACGCTGTCGGCTGCTACAGGTGAGCGGTTATGTTTTGATTATGTTTCTGCTCTTTTAATGTTTCTCATTGTAATATAGTGAACACCACCGCGATCTGGGCAACAGAATCAGACATAGGTAATTCAAAACATTTTGATTGATATCATCCTTAAACTGATTTAAACACAGTGCCAGATCATCAAGGGTCATCGCCTTCACGGTACCCACCAATGGACCATGACACAACATTACCCGGCTTCAACGAGCCTGATTCTGGTCCCATCGACAACGAGCCTGATCCTGGTCCCAGCGAGCCCACTCACCAGCTCGATGACATCCAAGTCGAATATCATCCCCACAGCCAACTCCCTCCCAGTGTACATCATTTCTCCGAGTTCTCCCGCAGCCGCCCAACGGAAGCTTATGTGCCCCTGTAACAACTCACCATGGGAGCCCTTCCGCACACAACTCGATTTTGAGATTTGCAGAGATTGCTCTTGAAGCTGCAATGACAAAGGAACAGACTAATCGTCTTCTCAGTCTCGTACACCAATCTGCTAGCGGCAAAGATGCATTCACGTTGCAAAATCATGATGAAGTCCGTTCCCTCTGGGATCTAGCTTCACAATGTTATACCAGAGTAAGCATTGTCTCATGTACTACTACTAACAATATAATAAACTTATCATTAGTGCATAGTTTCAGTGTGACAATGTATCTGTTCCCTTCGAAAAAGAGGTATATGAGTTTGACATGCACTACCGCCCTCTTTGGGACTGGGCACTTGACTTGTTGCGAGACAGACATCTCGCACCTCACTTTGTGTTTGATGCTCAACGTCTCTCAAAATTCGATGGAGAAAAGTTTGTACGTTTCATTGACGAACCGTGGACTGCCGATGCATTTTGGAATGCTGCAAGTATGTTCCAACACTTTATTCGTTATCTATCCTTTTAAATTAATGATATCCCTCCGAATGTTTGTAACTTAGTCACACCTTCCTCCGGATGCCAAACCATTGGCGTTCATCCTGTACGCAGACAAAAATAAACTATCGTCATTTGGGAGTCAAAAAGGCTATCCGATTATCGCTCGCATTGCTGAACCTTCCGGTTCATATTCATAACAGTAACACTACTGGTAGGAGGCGGTCGTAGTTGTTGGTTGGCTGCCCATTGTTGGTGCATCACTGCTGATTCAGTTAGTGGTATTACTAATTGTATTGATTAAGATCGTCGAAAATCAGGAACACATGAAGAAGAAGAAGTATGTGGACTTCAAAAATGCCTGTCTGGCATGCATCGTTTTACCAGCTGCTCGCTTCGGTTGCGAAGCACTCAAATACGGGACTTTTGGTTTGAATGCGGAGACTGAAATCCAATGATGTCTCTGGCCCCTGGTTTTGATCTTGAGTGCTGATTATGAAGAACAGTAAGTCACAATATTGGTTCTAGTACTACTCTACTGCGAGGCTCATTAAAATTGTAGATGTGTCATGGTGTTGATATGGGGACTTAAGGGGAAATTCCCGTGTCCAATTTGTTTGGTTCCGCAAGATCAACAGTCTGTTCTTCAGTACCTACGAGCTACGCACAAGCCGCCAATCTGAAGACATACTTCGTACTGCAAGATCCATGCCTTCTGAGAAGGAAAAGGAGGATCATTTGAAGGCCTTCTTGCTCCGAAATGTTCAGGTATGCCCTTTCCACTTTGTTATCTATTAATACTGACAAACTCGCTGATTCAAGAACGTCTTCTCGAGAATTCTTTACACAGACGTTCATCACACTCTTTCTTTCGACCGCTTGCATACAAACGAGGAAGGATTATGGGGCGACCATCTGTGGAAGGAGACAAAATTTTGGATTTTGGATCTTGGGCGGGAAGCCACTGTCAAACTCGAGCAAAAGTATGTATTGTGACTATAATACATTAATGCTAATGCTGACTCACTTCTCAGTTTTGACGCACTTCCACGATGGCCTAATCTGACACATTTTTCAGTCTGTCATGGCAGTGGATTTCACTGATGGTACTGTTCTTAGGGGATCTGTCGAAGGTTTGTCTATACATCATACACGATTTTAGGTACTAAAATAACTTAGATGATTATCTTTGCAGCACAGGATATTCTTTCTTCGTCCCACTGCAAACTGGGACACTTACTTCTTCGCTGCATTCACTACTACATTGAGTTCGACGTCTATGCCTCATTCGAAGTCCACACGGAAGGGACAATTATAGCTGGAAGGTTGGCGCTGCAAAAGTTCTCGGAAATTATGGATGTAAGTTGCTATTTGTTCAGATGATGACTGTCTGACATTTTACTAGGAATACATCACTGAATCGCAGCCTGAAACGATGAAGAATTGGAATTTTCCAAAGAAGCATTTAATCTCGCACATATTTGATGATATTTTGGCCAAAGGCGTGACCCGCAACTACAGTACCAAGCCCAATGAAAAAATGCACGGCTCTCTTCGAAAAATCTACCTTCAATGCACGAATTTCAAGAATGTTGCTTCTCAGGTGAGTCACTTCTAACTATATTGTCATGTGGATTCAGCCTAATGATAGCTTTATTGTTGCAGATCCTTCACTATGATGAATGGCTTCTGACCTCGACGTCTATGCGCATCGAACTCGACGAACTCGACAAGTATAATCAAGGAGACACTCTCGATCCCGAGACCAATGAAACTCTGCCTGATGCTGGAAACCCCGAATCTACTACTGTCCATGCACATTTAGGTTCGAGGCAAGGCAATTACTCCTTTTCCGATATCATGCACTCGCATGGAACTGATAGGGCCTTCACCGACTTTCGGATGAAGCTTAACAGCTTCCTGAACGGTTTTCTACCACTAAATAATATTCCATTACCAGATGGAAGGCGCATTCACCTGCATGCAGAGGACGTGGTATGCTAATTTCCTTCAATTCAATTGATAAGACTGATACTTTTTTACCAGGTAATGGAGTTTCAGTTTTTGCGCATTCATTATGAATCACTAGTTGACTGGCGCATGCACCGAGACTTACTTCAGTGCAACCCGAAGTTCTATGGATCACCAAGGTACAACTGTGTCTTGGTGAACACTGCAGACAAGCCGTTTTTCGCTCGCTTAGTGTATATGTTCAGCTGCTCAATTGGCGGCACTGATTTCCCTCTTGCGCTAATTCATCCTTATGATGTCAGTATCCCCAGTAGTCGTCGAAGGCGAGACAACGACCTTGGACTATGGCGTGTGCAGGCCAAACCTCGCTTATCCTCTGAAATCATTTCCGTCCAGTCAATCATTCATGGAGTTACTCTCACAAGCAATCCTGAAACACCTGGTGATTACTTCGTCATCCACACTGTGGACAATGACATATTTCTTCTAATCAAGGCCCTCCAAGCTCAACCATTGTGAGGCAGGCCATCCTCAGTATCATTGGTATGTCCTGGTCCCCTCATCCTTCATCTGCAACAAGCTTTTATTGATGTCGGCCCTCTACAGATGTTCAATAACCTGTATGATACTTCTCCCATATCTCCAACAACGCATCTGCCAAATCTGTACTCCCTTCATTCATCCTGGCGCTCAGCTCCCCTCTCCCATATCTCCAACGACACATCCACCAAATTCATACTCCCTTCATTCATCCTGGCGCTCAGCTCCCCTCTCGTGCGGCTGTCATGCACGACATTCTCGACATGATGCCCGAGTCCTTCAAGCAAAACAAGTCGAAAACCATTCTCCAGCATCTCTCAGAGGTGTGGCATTGTTGGAAAGCAAACTGCGATTGAGAACATTATCCTATGGTACATCAAGAGCAAGGCTGATTGGTGGTGCTCGGTTGCACACTATAATCGGGAGTGTATCTGTTGGGGTGCTACGGTTGATAATCGTTTAGAAACCGCTTGTCAACATCCACCGTTTTACAGACGTAAGTGACCTGAATCTACCCTTCACATTGTAATACTTGATCCGTCTGCGTGTTAATATGTAGACTTGCAACAGTGTATTATCACACATCGAAGCTGCGCAATGCTGCCATGATTATGTATGTCTTCGCCGCATTTAAATTGCCACTTCAAACTCACTTACTTGTTGGATAACAGCCTCATGGCCTCAACTGACTTTCAATGAGCTAATAAGCACTGATATCAAACCACGTGTATGATGATATTGAGGTCACTCTGAGTTGTTTTCGCTTCGGTTAGTACTAATGAAGATGAAAAGAGCCGCTGCCTTATGACACTCAATTCAGATTCAGACTTCACAGCTGCATAAAATGGCATCGATTGTGAGATGACTTTGACCCAACGCCCACTCTCAGGACTTGATCTAGCTGATCAAACACTTTCTTCCCATTCCTGCCGTCAATGTCTGACTCTGATTCAAATTCAACATCCTTCAGTCTTGATTCAGGCTCAGACTCGGCAGATGAAGGCACCCAATGTCGTCCTGTGGCTCCACCGAGCAGTGGTGCTTCTATTGAGCACTACCAAGAGGTACACCCTTCCTTTTGTTCATACCATATATTCCAACATACTCATTGATCTACTAGTATATTAAATATCTTCAGCTTCAACATGGGCAGCTCCAGCAGCGAACATGTCTCTGAACGAGAGCAACAACTGAAACGTTCATGCAAGCGCCCTCAAGCATCGTCATCTAATAGGGTACCATCAGTGTCGCAATCGACATCTGCAACATCTGTGCAACACCATCTGCATCCGAATCAACTGCAACCTCTGGTACAACTCCTGACTCATTGAAGACCAGTGGTGTTGACAAGGTTATTTTGGGCTTGGCTAAGAAGTATGCGTTAATTACGGAGATGTTTCTCCCAGACAAAGTCATTTTCCAAATGGACTGTCCTGACCCTCCAGTTGACTTCTCAAGTCTGGCTTGTTATGCAAAGAAGTCTACGGAAAAGTCCGCACTCATCACTGAACTTTACACATCCATCGACTACACTGTTGCATGCTCGGATGCGAACAAATCATTTCTTCAACCAGGTGCATAGCCTTTTCTTCCTCAAGCCATTGATATGAACATAACTAAAACTTCGATTAGTTTGGAAGTGGAATGCAACAAGCTCGCTCTTCAGTTTCTCAACAGCCTGCATTCTGTCGCAGGTGGCATCTTCAACATGCCCAACGAGTTTTTTGTCTCCAAATACGACCGTAATTCCCTCCCACAGGTCATGGACTTGATTGGATGGGAAGCAGGCAAGGGCCAAGCATATGATATCTTCAAGGTGCACCAATACTTTACCCTGACCATGTTGTGAATGAGAAGAAGATCTTCCAAAACTGGATAGTCATCGTGAAGGTGAGGTTTACTTGTTGACAACAGACTGGATGCTCATTTTGTTTTGAAGGTTATCAAGGTTGCAATATGTGGGAAGATGTCATTGTATCCCAAAGCGCGCAGGTGGACCACCTTCCTATGCCAAGATATGGAAACTCACGAGCTGCACTCCTGGCCTGATTGCTTTTGGTGTCACATCAGTAGGTTTTCAGTCCTCTAGATGTACACCGATTCAGAGCTGATACCCATCATGTTGTTCTGTAGATCATATTAATCCTATCACCAGACCAGGAATTTTCGGGCGATGGTGTTGGCGCTATTTTCTTGATCTCGTATCATTCAATCTTTAAGACTGTCAAGAAGATTTTCATCCTTAAGTGTGCACATCAGCGCATCAAATCTGTCGTCGAGAAAATCAATGGATATGTATTTGATGGTACAGTAAAGACACAGCCATCCAACGACACTTCATGCACTGTAGAGCACATCACCAAGTCACTCGATCACATCATGGCTGCGCTGGATGCCAGTGATTCAGATGATTCAGACTTGAACCAGAGCGATGAAGAATTGGAATATGTTAACTTGCCAGCTACCAAAGACACACATCATTCCACTGCAGCCACAGCTGTAACCATTACACCCTCGACTCCGAGTCCTAGTGTAAGTGCCGCAGTGGCAGCACCTGACAGGCCCACTGTGACCTCGGACATTCGAGATTATCCCGATGCCCCGCACACTTCCATTTTGACCCCACAACTCCCCACTTTTATGGCACTGCAAGCAGAGATTTTGGGAGATCCTGAGGGGTGAGGATGTATTGGCAGCTACTACTGCCAGTGGTGCAGGGCTTGGTATTCCCGAATCTCGAGCAAAAGCGTCCAGGGGCAGGAAGAAAAAGTCATTGATGGTCAATGATTCCACAACTATTCGTCGCTCCTCATGTCACACTGCAACTACTTAGCCTTCATAGTTATTATCCGTGCTCGAATGTCATCATTTGCCTAGTGTCAGGACACACTTGTTTGATCGGTCTGTGCTTATATAATACAGTACTCTTTAAACTTGTTCTTCCATCACAGCTCCTTGTTCTCATAACATTCCATGAACCATTTCTCTAGGTCACTGCCTTGAAGGTCTGGTCGATAACATTCTGTGGACCGTTCCTCCAGGTGACACAGCTGATAACATCCCATGAACCATTTCGTTGCTGCTTCAAAGGTCTGGTCGATATCATTCTGTGGACATACTACTCTTCACACTCGTTCTTCTATCTCGCTCCTTATTATTATGCTCATTTCATTGTCAGAAATGGCGATGGTAATCACCGCCAACTAATTTCAACCTGGGCTTTGTTTTAAACATTGTTCTAGTAATTGCTGGCACCATTTCTTCTGGGATGCTACCTCCAGGTGAGACCACATGGACTCTTCGGTTCATGGAAGGTTTCACTAATTCAGACAACATTCCATGAACTATTTCTCTAGGTTGCCCAACCTCTCTTTTCGTCTCTGAACTACTACACAGATGAGATGGATCCAACATCCAGTAGCAAGAAGTCAAGATCCTATGCACAGTGCCTGTGTGTTTTTCTCTTTTGTAGTTCTTTATCGCTGACTCCTTGTCACACAGGGAAATTATCGCACTAGACAGAAGAAAGCTGCTAGCTCATCTTGACCCGCCAGTACTCACACTACGCAACAACCCAGAGCACCCTATCATCATGTAGAGCGCCACTTTCCACTGCTGCTTCGACACCTTCCACTGCTTCGATACCTTCTGCTGCCATTGGTCTGCCACGTCAGCAACAGACGAAGGCAAGAAGGATGGGACCAGGGACATTATTTCTTTTTTCATTATGCGTACCACAATGTATATTAGTATTCATATCAACTTGATCTGACAATTGATATGTTCATCATCACCTTTATCAGAATGATCATTATAGCATTAAGACTTGGTTGGTGACCTGGAAATGTGCATTTAAACTTCGTTAAAATGTGCATTAATACTCAGTGGGTACCATTAAAATGTGCAATCAGACTTTGTAAAAATGCTCATTAATACTCAGTGGATACCATTGAAATGCACACTCAGACTACGTTAAAATGTCTATTAATATGCCCATTATATCATCATTTTGATGAGCATTAAAATGCTGACTGTTGGATCGTGATGTATTATAATGGGCCCGTGTCGTTAGGCCATCATAATGGATTATAATGCTGTAAAAAAAGTTCCGACATCCCATCCTTGATCCCAGGACCAACAACGAAGTACACTTTCTTTCAGGTCTTTTTCTGACCATGGTTATGAAGCTGACAATACATATGAGATTTCTAGTTCTGTTGGCATTGGAAGGCAAGGCAAGCTGGCAAAGCTCAAGTTGGTTCCCTGCCCCATGGCAAAATATTTTCAAAGTGGACCGAGAATTGTCGATGCCATTCGAATGTGTTACCCTCCAACTATTTCATGCATGCTGTGTTGCAGACTGACGTGTTGCTATTGCTAAAGCTTCCGATTTCTTTCCAAAGTGAAAACAATTGTGGTCCATGTCCTTCTGCATTGCCGGAACTCTGGGTTGCTACCATAGCTCCTCTCAGGGCTATTCATGTGCATGATGTTGTACATGTGTACGAATTGTAAGGATACTATGTCTTCTACACCCCGACCAAGACTTCAAAAATAACAACGGACTTACCACCTAACATCCACGTGACTCATTGATGCGAAGAAGCATCATGCTTCGCATCCGAGTCATGTGGACACATTCTCCTTTTCTTCTTACCTTCATTATCTCACTGTCGTCAACGACGAGCACAGTCCTTTCGCCTCCGTTACACTCTCACTTCGCCGATATCGACCCTCAAACCCTTCTTTTGTTACCTTTTCACTCTGCCGTATCAAACCCTGTCAAAACCGCTACAAAATTCTCGTCACTCTATTCAAACCGGACTCGTCTATACCGCCACTCATTCAGTTCTCTCGTACTCTCTCTTGCTTGGACTACCTATACCTCAGGATCAACACCACTCCCTTCTGCCTCCATTTTTTCACCTAATTGTACGAACTATACATACACGTGGACCCTTACGGTTTTGTGCTTAAATACTGCCCATGTACACTTTCAACTAATAGCGAATTTTACCAGTCTTTTTCCGCTCACAACTCACTCACAAACCTCAGAAACGCCTCTCTAACCATTATTCTTTCCTTGTGTCGCCTTGCTCTCACTGTGTCTACACGAAACACGTATCCCTCGCACTTTTGTTCACCATTCCCTTCCGAACTCAAACCGGCCTTACAGAATGGCACGGTTAGATTTGAATTCCAGAATTGACCATGAAACAGGTATTCGTACCTCGGAGCAGGCAATCCGCGCATTCAAATTGGAGCTAGAGTATTTCAACACTTCTACAATGTTTGCCTCATTCAGTGTGATGATCTGTCCTGAGTTTATTTTCGGGGCATATCAAAGGTCATACCGGTCACGTGTGTAATTCCGTTGAAATTAATATCTATACTTGCTCAATTGACTATTTGTATTACCTTCAGATTACTTGAGATGTCAGCCCGAACGCGCTCATGGCATGCATGTTTATTAATGTTGATTAACTTGGATTAAAATATAGCCGATTTGGGTGCACTGCGCTTTAAAAGGTACGCTGAGTGGTCTTGTCAAGTGAAACTGTTAAAAGAGAAAAATAGCTGTTTTTTTTTCAGCGTCTCTGTACATGTCGTGTCCCATCCTCGTGTCCCATGCATCCGAGCCGGCGTGCTATACGTTATTGCTGGGAATTCTAATACACGTTCATTGAGCGCAAACTATGAGCTCGAGGTATGAACCAGCAGAACACGCGATGCATCCGTTGGGCCGGCTTGTAGCAACTGTTCCACACAGTTGGTTGGTTGTTGCATATTCCACCTTTGTGGTGCAAGCGGGGCGACATCAATAACATTATTATTCCAGGTGGGTAATCAGAACAATCGCCAGAGCATCCACATTTGATTCGTTTTCAGATATTGCTTTGTGGTTGTGGATGTGCAATCATAGTGAATCCACAGCACTCGAACCTTTAAATACTGAAATGCAGACTCCCTGCATCGTCAGACCTACCTCCTCATATTCTTTGCAACTGTACATTGCTTATTTCCAAACATAAATCATGAATTCGTTCAAGAAGATTTTCCAAAAGTGAGTCGACCGTTTCTGCGTTCTACTCGTTGTCATCGTACTAATCAATACCCCTCAGGTCTAACGACGACCAGAATGCGTCGCTTAAGCATTCTAGATCGATGCCATACGGACTTTCTTCAGAAAAGAGGAAGTGCGAGCCTCTTCGTGACGATTCTTCCAAACGCGCATACCGTGGCAAGACTCCTCTTAAGAAGTCCGACATCGTGTACGTCGAGCAAGCTCCAGGGATGTTCGAGGTCTATCACGGCAAACTGTCGCAACACACCTACTACCATGGGCCAACTCACGCAAATTCTGACCCACGCACGGACTTGCTGCCCAAGTTTCCCCATTCCCCGGAACAAACTGAGGGCCTCCCTCGCAGCGGTTTCAGAGCGCTTTCTTTAAACTCAAAGAATCTCAGGCGCCAAGTGTCTATCCATAATTTTGATGCAGGTAGTCGACAAGCCTACCCGCCCATCTCTCACAGAAACCAGAGGTATGTTAATCGAGCTTCAGCAGATGTACTGCAGATCCCTGACGGCCATACTTGCAGTGTCAGACAGGAAGAACGTATTCGCGCCAAGTCCACCGCTGGTCGCTCGAACATCCCTCATCCCTCCGCTCCTGTTCCCCCTGTTCCCAACCCCCATTCCCTTCATCCAGCACTCTCGCGCCTCCCACACAGCTCACGCGTAAACATTCGTGAAGTTCCATCTCATGTCGCTGTCCCCCAGACCTCCTGGGCTTACTCTAAATACGAGGAGATTTTACACGAGCGGGACCCTGCCGTACTCCGTGGGATGATCAATCGTTATCCCTTAACGCCTGTTTGCAGCGAACGTTGCCCAGAAGACATGCGTCCCATACATTTTGACATGGACGAGCCGCAGCGTACCCAGATGACACTTCAACAGTGCATCCATACGGCATTGACCCAAGGCCGTCCGCTCGATGTACGCGCTGGTGGCCGTTACCACCGCATCGTCGATGCGAGTGAAGTAGGCATCGTTCCAGAAATTGGAACCGATTGGTCTCGGCAGGGTGGTCGTCGGTGATTTGTGAGGACGGAGGTTAGTTTGTGAAGAGCGTTTTGGTGCTGGTTCACCTGTATACGTATGCCGTGTCGCGTGTTATGTATATGTATATGTATATGATTTATAGAGAGCGTTATGGTCACATACGAATGTTTGTCCAGGTCTCTCCGCGAGGTGCCAACACTCAACGCCGGACACAACAACACGTCGTCTATATGTACCTTATTCCAACTCTATGATCTATCTTGCCGACAACAAGGTCGACAATATCACCAGTCGAATGTCAGACGAGACGCTATGTGCAAGTGCGAGCGTATTTAAAAGATATTCGACTCTAACTTATTGATGGCATTAGGAGCCTATACTACTATTGAGGGAAAGCGTCGCGTGGCACTAGTATCGAAAAGCGCACATACATATTTACTTCTGACTTCAATCCTCGGGTAGTTTCCAGGCTAGTGATAGTATATTTCCCCAAATGTTCACGCTAATTCCATTAATATACAAAGAACTGTAGGTAAACCGATTGTTTCCTGATGTGCGTCGATAAACGCTACAGATCACCCCCTCTAACTAACTAAATAAACTCTAACTAACCC